CTGTCAGACACCATTGACCAAAAGACTTCTTTCTTTTCTTTATCAATAAAAGCCATAAAATGAGCACTTGCATACATCGATAACCCACTACTTGTAATGGCAAAAGTTAAGCTGATTAAATCTTTGCGCAGCACAAAACGTATAACCATACGGTACTAGTATCCGAAAAATTTTCTACGCATAATTTTCGAAACGCGTTGCGAAAATTCCTCATGGTCGATATAATTCCACTTAAAGGCAATTACCAGTTCACCACCTTTAATCTATCTACATCCTAACCATGTCCCGATCAGTGATGTTTACAAAATTGTTGCCTCTCACTTCGTAGGCTTCTCATCTGGTAGCTATACTAATTTCCACACTTTTATGGATGGCGGCATTACCGGGGGGGGGGGGGGGCAAGAGTGGACATGCTTAAATATAGGATTTCTCGGTCACTTTCGTAAGCTTTTCATTCGTTTTGATAAAAAGTTCATTCAAATTCGCGAAATAAAGCTGCCGGCGTGTTAATTACATTCAAAATAACACTTTTTTCATTTGATTTACTTATTCGGTCAATGGATTTAGCACTTTTTTCGTTCAATTTAACAACCGCTTACAAATGCGCAGTTTGCATTCATTTTCGTCAACAATGGCAAATCGGACGTCCGTACCATTCAATTTCACTTTGGGTCATTCTAAATAACAAAGTTTTCATTCACATTCGCCTATATTTAGAAACCTATGGTATACATGGTATATGCACATGTTTCTCATCTAAATTAAACAAATGAGTTATATAACATGCCTAGATGTCTTGCACGTCAACATGTAGAGGGTTAAACAACTCTAGATATAAGATTAGACATCATCTTACTGATGTTCTCATCACGGACTTTATCGTACTCGGTCATCTTTTGGAAGTGATTTTACGTAGACGAACATGATAATGTAATGCATGATGTAACTATGATCATTAACATTATAACCAAAACAAGATTTCATATTATATACGTGTATTCTTTAGTTTATGTCCACATGACATGAGTTATTGAGATGTGCGCGCAGTGAGAATACAATGTATCAAACTCATTAGTGATTGTGTAGCGTGATCGTGATTGTAATTGAGATGGTGATTGCGATTGTGACTGAGATGGTAATTGTGACTGTGATCACGATCATGATTGTGATTCAGTGTGATGGTGATTCAAATTTTGATGTGATTATGATTGTGATTGAACTGATACTCATAGATTGTTCTTAACATGTTCAATACAGACTAAATATAATAACACAAATATAAATGGCTTCAAAGACATTACGAACATCGAATAAATTATCAAAAACAAAACAAAACAAAACATTAAAAATAAATCAATGTATAGAGTATTGATACCCCCCCCCCCCCACCATTATGGTACGCCACTCCAATAAATACAACCGTAGTCTGTAAACACACACTTTGCATGCACTTATATCATTGCATATTCATAAAAAGACACTCTTGCTTAGTTCCATACTAATTCTATATTAATGTGGCTAGGTTTTATCTACTTAACACATGATCGTTCAGTTGCTAAATGGTGATGACAAATAACAAGTTTGTTGCTTACCAAATCATACAATTTGAGATGGATTTAGCATGGAACTAAGCTTGCGGGGTTCTATATAACCATACTGGGTAAGACTTACATGTTTAATTTGTCTGCAAAACGTGTGAAACTGTATGCAAAGAAACGAATTTGAATTCACGGAAGACGCTATTACGTAATCGCGAATCGTTTCGCTTTAAATTGAATGAAAATGTTACGAAAAAGAAACACGTTTTAATTCGAATGAAAATGAAATGTTTTTGAATGATCGTTTTAGGAATTTAAATGCTAAAAAACGAATTTGAACGAAAAATAACAGCTGCGGTGACAGAATCGGCGAAATTGAATGAACATAAAAATAATTTGTGTGGCCAACTTACGAAAGTGACCGAAAAATCCTATAATAAAAAAAAATTCACATTTGGGAGGCACAACACAAGGCTTTCGAGAAATATGAAAGCCTTTTCCTCTCCCCCTCTCTTGTTTTTCTTTCTTTTTGGCCTGGAGATTTTTGGACACAATATCACATTTAAGGAGAAAGTGAACTTTTGTCCATTTGTCTTTAGCTCGTCAGAGATGTGTGTATCATGTACCCCTTTGTGCCACCATACTAATTTAATAATACATGTATTATCTGGATGTTTAAATGACCAAAATAATTTATGTAATGATCATAGGACTATCGTATTGTATATCTGCTATCACAAATTAGAAAAAGAAAAACAAGAAAAAGAAGGAAAAAAAAGGAGAGCATTTCCTGATTTTCCTAGGCCATGTTCTAGTAGAAGAGGAATATATCCCAGGCAGCAGGGCAAATGGCATAGCAATTAAAGTCTGGGGGGGGGGGGGGGGTGAGACTTATTGAAATTATGAAATGATTTAGCGTGTATATGATTAGTATAAGAGTAAGTGCAATCTCTGTGATTATTGGTTTAAGAAAAGATTTTATTTTGACTTTCACCAAAACTATGAGCAAGGGCGGCAAAATAGCATTCGGTAGGGGGGGGGGGGTGGCCTGTGGAAGGCTTTTAATTTCAAGTACAATTAATTTCCCCTCCCTTCAAGATGGACAGTACTAGATAATAAACCACAACATGAACTACAAATTACCTACATGTACATTAGTTACATTCCTATTATAGCCTCCTCTTGCAAGTTCGATAAACATGAAGCAACTACTTTCCAAAAATGTCTATAGCCTTGTGTTTGAATTGCGCAAACATAATGACATATTACATAATCTGAATGTGATTTCTAAGGGACGTACAATAGGGTATTAAAATAGCCTTTAAGTTTGTTTTTCGAAAATAGTGTTTAATATGTATATTTGATAAAAAGGGAAAATGGAAAATGGAGTTTAATTTTAATCTAGCACACAATGCTCTTATGTGAGTTTCTGATTGTATTATGTTTAATAACAGAACTGTTTGAAAAACTCCATCAACACAGGCAAAAATTTCCCATTATAACACATAATCATGATAAGACAAACAACAGGCCATGCTAGCATCGTTCAAATCTTTTCTTTGATAGAATTCACATTTAATACAAGTGCATGAATATAATTCTAGTAACATATGAACTTTACATTTAATTTGATACATGTATATATGAATCAAAGAGAGAACCTGATGCCTTGATAATGAGTTTAGAATCTACTATAAAACAACATAATAGAACATTGAGCAGTACACAAGATTTTAACTCACATGACATTATGCCTTCATAATTCATGACCCAAATCACACAAATATATGAAATGATGAACGTTATTTCTGTACTCCTGTATCTTTAATGAAATTGATAATACAAGACTTGATTAGCATATGAAACCTGGTGTCTGCATTTTTTGTAATTTGGTCTTAAAATATTTAAATTCTTGACATAGGATTGGAATTTCTTTTTAAAAAAAAAGTACATTAAAAAATGTCAGTACCGGTAGTTCACATTTGTCTTTTCAGTCCTTACGTGAACCTCTGTGAAAGCCGTATATCATTTAGAAAGCATAGCCAACACTTAACACTTTTTGTTGATCCATATTTGATACATCAGGGTAAAATCTAACAAATGTTCTGTTCTAAACTCAAGCTTCACGAACGTTTGTAATGTAATATGACTTGAAATTGCAGCCAAAGTTGACTCCCAGTTCATCTCTCTATATTAAAGACCATTAAAATAATCCCCTCCCCCTTAAGAATAAATACTACACGGATACAGAAGCTACTTTCTATGTTTCTCTTGGGTGGTCTTAAAGTGTCTCAATCACCTGAAAAAAATAATGTGTGTATGGCTAGAATGTATAAAATCAACCTCAAGAACTTTACCTGGCATTATATAGGTAAAAGGTTTAAGGAGTTTGAGGAAAATAAAGGACAACATAAAACCCTGCATAAAGGGCTCGCACAGAACCTAAATCAGACTTGGGTTCTGTGCGCCCCTTGTTCTACATGAGTGCAACACTGCATACTCGTTTGTTAACTAGTTAACTCAACAAGACATTGTACAGTTCACTGAGATTGTAGCAGTAATATTTGAAGCTCATATTTTGCATACAATATAGCCATATGGAACCCCTTACATCAAGAGGAAAACTGTTTTGGTGATTGATACACTTTAATAGAGAAGTTGACTGTGTTTATACACTATTATGAACTACAATTCCAGGGGAAATAGGAAATTTCACCACACAATCTCAGTCATTACAAAGCCTAAATCATCTTGTGTAGTCATGTAGAGTTAAACCCATTAGAGTATACAAAAAAGTACCAAATTCCTCTTTATTTCAATACAATACATCATTACATGTAATGGATAGACTTTTGTTTTGTTTCATTGAACATACTGTACATGATCAATTTCTAGCTTAAATTGAATAGCACTTTCCCCTCACAAAGTGAGAGAAAAAAGAAGAAAAAGTAGATGTCTTGAGTTTGATGGTAATCTGTCTATCGGTTCTAATGATAATGCATTCACAAGCTATTTTTGCACACATAATGAGCCCTGTGACCTTTTACCTTGTGACCCCAAAATCTATTCAGTTCATTGGCTCTTCAAGATACATACATGACCCAAGTTTGGCAGTAATCCATCAATTGGTCTTGCGATTTTTGCATACATACATTTCTGCAAACATAATGCCTCCGGCTTACTTTGTAGCGAGGCATACTTGAGTGTGGTTCAAATGAAAACTACCTTGTAGAATCAGTGAAAAACAGATGAGCCTTCATCTAAACTTTGTGCGAACGTTAACCATCTTTCTTTCAATGAGTAATTCTTGCACATTATACATATATACTTTGGGTTCTGTGTCCATATATCACTTTCTATTTCTTCATTGAAATATTATACTACACAGCTTTGCAGTCTACATCAATGAATACAAGGACCTGCATAATGGTAAGAAGTTGACAAAGTGCTATCAAAGCCTCATTTTAGAACATGCTTTCACTAAACATTTTTCAGAAACTGTAACACATTTACAGATGCAACCTACTATGTTTGAGTTTTAAATCTGTAACAATCAATTCTATGGAATGTTGACTTGTAGACATTTTTTAATGAGTACCATTTTCTATCCTCCCACTTCAAGAGAATAAGCATTGCAATGAGTTCTACATATAAATACTCAAATAACTACCGGTAGATGGGCTTTCCACTCAAAGATGGCTTTAAAATGGGTAACATGGACATCATTGAAGTCTGAATTTATGAATTCACAATCTTTCTTGTACTTGTTATATAGACCAGCCAGATGAAGGAAATGTTAAATTTTTTATTAAATTCTCATGAAAAGCTAGTAAACTTCTCACTTTCTCACTTGGCAGTAACAGGACACAGCTCTTTTGGTCAAAAGTTTCAAAAGTTCAATGGGAATTGTGTACGTGGTGATTTGTAAAGTACACATCAAGGTGTAGATGAAGGATTGTAAAATAAAATGGGGGTTGGTGCAAAGTTAAGGGAATGTCACCAGCCCTCTCATGGCTTTGATGGGGAGGCAGGGGGAGTGAGTAGGGGTGCCAGGTCAATCACATTTCTTAGAAACTTCAGGGATGTTTTTCCTTATATTCTAAGGGAGATTGATGAACACTTCCACTACTTTCACAACCATGCCAAAATGTGTAATAGTATCTTCCACACGGCACTTTCCAACACGGCTGGGATACTACTGTTGAAAGATAAACTATGCATCAGTAAAACTATACTCTTTGTTTTCTAACTCACTTATTTCTCTCTTACTGTTTCATGCTGTTGTGCAACGTTTCCCTTTCCATTTAGCAAATATTTCCTGGGAGTGTGAATTCACACCATTATCAGGCCTTGTCCATCAAGTGGTAGTTTCTCAAATTGTTTTCAGTTTCATTCACAGAAACTCTTTAGCATGATAGAAGAAGATGTATCCCGTTCTTCTTCTCTCCTCCCGTAGTCTTCTCTCATCTCTCTTCATCACCGTGGAATCATCGTAACTTAGCCAGCATTTCTTCTCCACATCATAGACATCACTGATGTAGTGTCCATTCATGGATGTACTCCCTATGTGACTCACAATGGAGACCAGACGATAGGCGTTGTTCAGGTGACCAGCCTGATAGAAAGTAAACAAGGCAACATGGCATCGTAATACTGGAAAATGGTCTGTATGGTAACAATTTCAAGTATACTTCATAATCAAAATAATACACTCAATATAACAACATAATTTTGATGGTCCAATTTAGTGCCCCGATATCAAAAAGTTTCAAATAACAGTAATTACTTAGATGCAAGGGGTTTGTTATAAATAGGTACCACTTTACTAGAACTTGAAATGATTTTATCTTCGTTGTTGACTAGGTTGTTGAATGTAATCACCCCAAAGATATGCAAGACATTCAAATGCCGAACTATTTAATATTATAGAAGGGAAATAATCTTATCTTAGGGTGCGCACAGAAGTTGATTCCAATGTTACACACCAAAGTTTAAAACACATGTGAGTCAAGACGTCAAGTAGTTTTTTTCTTTATTTTGGTACCAATGCAGTATTCAAACTTGCAATGTCCCTACACAGAAGTAAAACATAAAACTGATTTTTGAATATCACATACCAGCATGGCGTCCCTTGGAGAAATCTTTGAGATTGGTTCATTTCTTACCTCAGAATGTTTAGAGAGCTTTTCTGCTTCTTCCTTGGTATAAACAGGAGAGACTGATTTGGACTCTTCCCCTCTGTCTCTACATCTAGCTGGAGTTATACTCTGTCTTTGATGCAGATCTGAGATGAATCCAAAATAGGTATTTTAATTTTATTGTATTTCCATGATGTTTTATTGATACTCTTCAGTTTACAAAACATATTCCATTGAAGGATACAATAAATCTTTTGCATAATTGATGCATATACATGTATATATATTTCAATCAATAGCTTGAAACATCTGTTTATGAAGTATAATAAAGAGGTCATCAGGTCAACAATGATCACAGAGAAAAGTAAAACTAATCAAAATAAAAAAAGTGGTAGAACACAATTACATTTTCTATGGTGAAAAGATAGCTTGCCTTTTCAATTTGCAATATACTGTTATACAAAGTAAAAAGTAGCCTTTGAAAACAATCAATGCTTGGCCTGTTTTTCTTGTTTAAGCACAGATAAATTCATCATTCTGCTATTAGTAAAACACAATTATTAAACTTTGTGGGCGCTCTTCTAAATAACCTACAATGACTGCTTTTACATCAAGAAAAGATAAGTCAAACGTGGACAACAAAATTTTGGTTTCATTCAATCAAGTGTGTACATAGCTACATTGCCTTAGTGCATGTTAAGTAGGGTTCGCATGACAAATCTCTCCTTTTACCGTTAAGTTTTTCTTTTGCTCCATCTATACGAAAGGCCTTTTGTTAGGCAACAGGGCGTAAATGGATGCAGTGTCAATGAATATGCAGTACAAGCAAAACATATTCCATGTTTTAAACTTTTTATTGACTACATCTTGGCAACATATTTCTATAGATTGTCCAAATTATTCACATAAATAATATTACTTTAGCATTAAAAAATAAATTTTAAAACCACTACTGTTGTTGTTAATATTGACATTGTAATGTTACTAAATAGTTTTACAGACATCTTCAACACAAGAACTGTAATCGTTTTGGAAGAATATCCAATCTGACAAATATTGTGGCATAAAAAAAATGGGGATTTAAAACAGAAAATTAATTGTTTCTCAATTCTCAGGTACACCCCTTAGTGTATTGCAATCAATTAATGTCAAAGCCCTTGTTCTTCTACATCTTGGTTATTTTTCCTAGAATGTTAGCTTCTTACCTTGAAGGCTCATTTCTTGTGCTCTCAATATTTCTGCTGCTTCTCTCTCAGAAATCTCCTTCACTCCTGTACATGAAAGATATATTGTTTGAAAACAATAATGGACACCAAATCACATTTCAATTTTCACCAAAAGATATAGTATTTTGTTTAAAAATTGACTGACTTGAATACAGAAATAAGTAACAGAAACAATTTGTTTAATAGGAAATTTTCAATACATACCCCTCCCCCCTCATCATGAATCATAGTCAAGCCGACAAATCTATCTTTGTATCTATCTTCTCTGCAAAATTGGAAATGTCTGGGGATATGTATAAATTGAAGTCATTCTGTCTGCCAAAATGTGCAAAATGCCAGTTGGACTGGGTTCAGTTTTTGACTGGGGAAGAATCTTAAATATGCATTTATCTACCTTGCATGCTCAATTCTGTAGCCTTCCTAATATCCTCCTGCTCCTTGGCTTCCATCTCGTCATAGCTCATCCTCCTTTCTTCTTCTTCTCTCCCTCTATGCGCACTATCATCATCCTTCCGTTCCTCATCTTCCCTCACTGGAGTTTCATTTGTGGGTGAAAATTGTTGGAAGATGTTCTTTTTGAATTTCTTATATGGTTTCCATAGATCAGCCCCATTTTCCTCATGAGATTCATCATCGTGATTCACTTTGGTTTCACTCTTCGCAATACTCTGCAAAGGAGGACCTGTGGTAACTCTGACTTTACTGCAAGAGACACTTTGGTGACTGGTGCCATTGACAAGACTCTCAGTTCTATGGTCAGGTGTACTTGATAAATCAATATGCTTTGCCCCATGATGATCCACACTCCTGGCATTGAGCTTGTCTGACTGATCAAGAGCATCATCGCTGACAAACTCCACATCTTCATCAGATGGTCTGGATTCCTTGGACGACAAGAAATGAGATTCTTTTAATTTGTTAGTGGTTTGATCGGGGTCAGTATCCCACATTCTGGGTTGTGTTGGGTCCTCTTCATCAGTATTATCCAGGGAAAAGGCAATAGGTTGGTCATCCTCAGTGTCCATTGGCTCATCTCTAGCACACATTAAAGGCTGCTGTTTATATCTCTTGGCTCCTCCAAGCAACCCACCACCGCCCTCTCCATCGTGCCGTCTTCTTTCATCTTCTCCTTCACTCTCTCTCCTGTAAGATTCACCTACACTGCTCATGACATTGCACTTTTCAGAATTGCATTTAGTGGATGTTTCAACCAACTGTGTCCTAGCACCTCCTAGAAGGCCTTCATTAGTTAGCGGTCTAAGCGCTCCTTCTCTGTTGACTGTAAGCTGCCTCCTGAGCTCCTCCTGACGAGTTCTCTTGCTCTCTAGAAGCGCTTGCTCAAAGTCACTCATCTCCACATCTTCACTCAACCCAACAGGGAGATCCTCATCACTCTCTTCACCATCATCCTTGGGCTTCCCTGTCCTTTCCTCTGCTTCCATCGAATCATTCAGAGCTTTAGCCAATTCCTCGTCTGTGAACTCCTCAGTAGCACATTTGATTGAATTTCTTTTCAGTCTTGCCTCTTCATCCTGGCGACTGAGCTCCATGGCCAGAGCAAACTGTTGATCCTCATCCATCTCTACCAATCTCTCTTCTTTAGACTTCTCCTGTTGAATATTCAGAGAACACAGAATAAACCAGAGGGACTATAATATAATTTGTTCAAAGTTGGGAATTTTTGTTGTGTGCATAGCAGATGAGTATGGATACAATTTGGGTCATAACTTCAATATGTTAATTAAGTTATAAAAGGAAAAAAGAAATAACACAGAGGAAGAATAAACCTTTCATTGTCAACGATTCAAATGGTGAACAAACTTAATTCATAGTCACATTAAAAGGTAGTCAGAGAAACATCAAACTCTTTTAAACCAGCATTTCTAGAAAGTGACATTCGCCGCATATGCATCCATTCACACAGTTCTGCCAGGCCTGCATTGATTTCAAAACATTTTGGGACTGATGTTATATAAAGGCAAACCATCCGTTTGTTTATATCATTAGTAGATAAGATAACTGTGTCAATATATGACATACGGGTGTCTATGGATCTGCCTATGCCATGTAAAATGCCATAGACATTTTATTATAGAATCTGTAGTATAACAATCTGTCATAAGTACATTTTGTCAATTTCCCAAGTTCCAAGAGGCAAGCAAAAATACAGAGTGTGCTCTTGCATCAAGTCTGGATTCATTTTCTCTCAGGCTGAAGTCATCAACGGATCAAATGTACATTTTCTCCTTGATCTCCTCTGCGATTTTCAGCCGAGTGATTTCACTTACCAATTTACTATCAGGAGCGACCTCTGTTTCAAAGCGACTGATGAAATGTCCAGATCCTTTATGTGCTGAATCAGATGACAAACGACCCCTGTTGAACTTGAAGCCAGATCTACACCAGAATTGTAGAATCAAAGTATACGGTCAATGAAGACTATAGAGTGAAAGTTTTAACAATTTGCAAGAACAATATATTGTAAACATTGAGCATTACCGGAGTGTTGGCTCAGTCAGTAGAGCGTCCGCCTCACAACCGGGAGGTCGTGGGTTCGAACCCCGGCCGCGTCATACCAAAAGACGTTAAAAGATGGGAGTTGTTGCTACCTTGTTTGGCGTTCAACAATAAGGGATAGACCAACGTCGATCTGGCGCTGCTCAGTGGCTGCCAGGCTCACGATCAATTGGGCAAAAAGAATTTCCGTTTCGGTTTAATAAAATTTGGAGTGGACTATTAGATTATTATTATTATTATTATTATTATTATTATTATTAGGCAAGTCTTGAAGCCCCTCTAAAGTGTTGGGAGCCCCACAAATTTGATGGGAAAATTTCACTTGAATTGTTTCATAATGTGAAAGAGGATGTCATTTCAGACACGTTTCTGACATCCTCTTTCAGAGTATGATACAAATTTGTGGGGCTCCCAACACTTTAGAGGGGCTTTAAATCTCATTTTGAATGTTTAGAGATCACTGGCAATTTGAAGAGAAAGGAAAGAAAGTATTGTTGTATACTATCCCTGATTTGTTTACTTGCAAGTTTTTAATGCCCATCGAAACTAGGATATGTGGTAAAAGCAGGATATGCAAAAAGAGAGGTAAACTTTTCATAGTCCAAAAAATGAAATTCTAAAATGTTGTGTGTCACTAACCCCCTATGGCACTGACAGGGTCAATGATACTAACCTGTTGCTTTCATAGTCTAGCTTCTTTCTGATGCTACCACCATCTCCTTTCTCATCAGGACTGCTATGGTTGAACGATGTCCCGATGTTATCACGGAGTGGAGACAAGGGACTGCAGATATACATTTAAAAAAAAGATAAATGAATAAGAAATGTATAATCTCGAAGGGCCAACCAGCCTCTCATACAATTTAGCCGAGAAGATATAGAAAATATGAGAAACAAATTGGTTAAATTTCAACCAAAGTAGGCAACCATTAAGTGATAAATCTTTTAAAGTTAAATTCATTTCCCACTTTCTTTTTTCAATATCACAGCAGTGATACTAACTACGGTTTAGTTTAACATGGCTCGATGCTTTCCCAAGAGTCTCCTTGAACATGATTGATGTGCTTCTAATCACATCTAAAGATTCTCTTGAGATTGATTTGTTATCGCAAACAATATTTATGGTCAAACTTATACGAGATAGAAAAGTAGTTTACTTTCTAACCCATTAAATGTCGTAAATGTGAAGATCTTTATACCCTAAAGCAACTATCCCAAGGACTATCACCCACCCCACCCCTTGACAGCTACAAACCTCCCCCAGACAACTACCTCCTGGGGATTGTCGCCCATGGCTAGTTATTCACAGGATGATATTCAAGGACAGGGCTCCCACAGTAATTTGAGAACTATATTCTATGACTCTTCAGGATCCATTTTAGCCTTTTTCCGTGACCAGATAAGTACCATGTTATTTTTGGAATGGGTAGCGTACAAATACAAAGCATTGATATATTCATTTTGTGTTTGTAATGGCTTCCGCCTTCCCTCACAGCCAGAACACTGGGGGAGGGGGGGGGGGGTAGCCATAGCCACACATGACCCACACCCATGATCAAATTCTATGACTTTGGGAGATTTTTTTCTTTTTAATATTCCATGACTTTCCATGACTTCCAGAAGAATTAATTTTCCCATGACTTTGGAAAGCCTCAAGGAGGCTGTGAAAACTTACCCATGAATAGCTGGTGTGTGGTTAGACCTCGGGGTGGTGGAGCTGTGTTCTCGGTGGTATGAAAGGCTAATGTTAGATAGCGTGGGATGACTACACTCAGCCTAAGCTTGCCGTCTACGGAAGCATCTGAGTCATATGTGTAGCGTTTCAGATGAAGGATGAGAACCCTGTAAAAGATACAAAATTCAATTCAATTCAATTCAATTCAGTTCACTTCAGTTCAGTTCAGTTCAGTTTGCTTTGGTTCGGTTTGGTTCAGTTCAGTTCAATTTGATTCAATTCAGTTCAGTTCAATTCAGTTCAAACCAGTTCCGCTAAGTTCAGTTCGATTTGATTCAATTCAAATTGGTATACAACTTTAATCACATGGATAATCAATTAGGTAACACAAAATGCAGCAACTAATATTATCTAAGCTAATCATAACTAAAGGCTATCAATAAAATGCCTAAATAAAGTTCTCATGATCATAAATTCAATGTTGCATTGTGCATACATAATTAAGGAATAAAACCAAAAAGATCTTAAACTAGATCAATTTGATGGTTCTCAATACTGCAAAATTTTAAATTTTAATCCATTATGATTAAAATATTTCTTTTTAGAATCAATGAATGTCATTCCTCTCAACAATGCATGTAGCAAGAGGCTGCAAGAGGGTACCTTGGAAGTTTGGTGAATTTGTGACACACAGTGGCTTCTTTGCAGTCACATTTTGCACATGCGTAGTCCAGTTTCTCAGATGCACAGAAACTATCGAGAGCTGTCTGCAGAGAAAAGGCTTCACTGTGGTGAGGGAGAGAGAGAGAGAGAGAAAACTGGATTGACACATCTGGAAAAATAGCAATGAATACTGAATGTTTGAATCTTGCACTCATTATAGTAGGCTAAACCACAATCATGTAAACAAGATGAAATCAGGCAATATAAACAGAACAGGGATGCCACTGAGAGTTATATAAAATTCCTGAACTTTCTAGAGGCGGGGGTTCAGTGTTTCCAGAGTAACAAGAAAAAACAATGCTTTAATGCATATAAATATGCTTTTTAATAAATATAATTCATTTATGCATACATAATTAGATGTTTTAATAACACTCCCACAATGCGTGAGGTCACACCGTAACTGTATAGACCTCATACACGCATAACCAAAGAAACCACCATTGATTGTCTTCCGTCATGACATGTTTTGCTAGCGTTTGTGAATCGTATTGTTCCAGCTAATTATTGATCAAAACAAAATCGACAGCTACATATTGGAAAACATACATACAGTACATATTAGACGTAGAGATAGAGATGACAAAGAGATATTTTTTATTTTATTTTGGGGGTGGAGGGGGGGGGGGGGCTTATGAATTCTTGAATATTTGAAACTCTTCTCCCAACCAAATTGTATAATCATTGAAAAAATACATACTGTGATATAACTTCGCTAGCGATTGATGAGTAAAGTCTTACATACTACATGGATGTGTAAATCAATTACCAACTGATAAAAAGAAAGAAAATTTAAGAATTTTACTAAAATGTCATTTTGTCAAGTATCTTTAATACATTTTAGTATCAAATTATCTTTAATTATTTTACCCTTTTAATTTAAACTAATACTTACTTCGTTCGTGGCAGGTCAAGTGAGAGATCATTAAATGTCTCTTTCTTACTGACCTCCTCTCCACACTCCTGACACAGAATGGAATGCTCCACTTCCAGTTCAAAGTTCTGACTGACAGCACATGCAAACTTGGCTTTGTCCTCTGACTGATTGGAAGGTACCACTTGACTGGGAGGGGAGACAGCCTCCTGTACTTCTTTGGAGGGGACTTCTTTGTCTGGCTTTGGGTTATTCACCTTCTCTACATCTTCTTTTAGCTGATCAAGGCACTGACACAGAAACTCATGAGCATCCTAGAAATCAGTCAGAAAAATTGAAGCCAAGGTCAAGAAGAGGTTTGTAAGGTTTGATCAGTTGGAATTTTCAAAGGCTTAATGGTATGGCCATAATGGTCTGCCCTAAGATAACGGCCATACAGCTAGTCAGATTTAGTGATTCATTTAGGGTTTAAGCTAGCCCCATCACAAATTGTACAATCTGGCTGAAGATTCAATTTTGAAAGAAGCTGCAATAAAATTAGAGATAAGGAATCAAACTATTAAACTAGGAGGTAGACTACTTCTGATTGCATTTTTCCAAATAGTCATATGAATGGTAAAATAAAAGTTTTACCAATAAATTAATGACAAGGAACCTCAATCAGGGTGACTTTACAAGTTTACATATATTTCAAATCTAATGATATTGCAACTTCATCAAACATTTTGATTGCTGTGAATTGTTTGGTGTGCGTTGCATGGGCTTTTAATAGCTTTCTTGGGTGAACAAGTGTATGTTGGAGACTTGATGGTTCACTGGTAGAACATAACAAACAGGTTCCAGGTGCAAAACCATGTTCATCATTTCCAGGGGTGATAGTGAGCACTAAAAAAGTTTTTTTTTCCCCCCCTCAACCACGCCCCCCTTGAGTAGAAAAAAGAAAGAAGAGGATTCAGGGGGGAAATGGCATCTAACAACACCCCCCCCCCCTTTTGAGTAAGAAAAATTGGGAAATAATAGGGAAGAATAGAGAAAATAAGGGAAAAATCAGGAAAATTAGGAAGAAAAAAAAATCAGGTAAAAACAAGAAGAATTTTTTAAAATTAAAAATAAATAAACCAGGAAACCGATTTAAATCATATTTTTATCAGGCCTGCATTACCAAGTCCCAAGGAGGGGACTTAAAGCTCTCATTAACCTGGTTGCTTATTTACCATTAAACACATGCTTTAAGACATTCAAATAATGTGGCATTGTGTGGGTCCTTACAATGTAAGGTTTTCTCTTTATCTTACATGTTGCATGAAGCCTGAAAATCTAGTAGCTGTTGCTGAGATGGCAGCTTTGACGCTCTGAAGGCGATGCTCAATATCAGTGCTTCCCTTGTTGTTCTGCTTGGCGTACATCAACCCAGCCAGAACCCTGGAATATAAACAAAAAACATGGGAATTTAAAAGATTGAGATGAAAGTTTTAAAAAAACCAAAACAACAACTACATAGTGATATGAAAAGAAACAGATAAAAGAGAGATAAAGAGAAATTGAGGAGAGGGAGGGAGGGAGGGAGAGAGAGAGAGAGAGAGAGAGAGAGAGACAGAGGGAGAGACAGAGAAGGGAGAGGCAGAGGTTGAAAGGAGAGATAAACACAACAATGAAAAGAAAAAAGTAGAGAGACATAAGCAATGGATGGACATATTCTCTAATGTCTCAAACATCTACACTTCATCAGGTTCCATACTTTCATTAAGATGCTTTTAAAAACTGTAAAAAGGGTTTAATGAACTAAATCTGCAAAAGCTGAACTGTCCCGACCCCAGCTGGCTAATATGTAGATCACTCATAAATACCCTTCAAACTATGTTAGCTTGTGCGAAGAAAGGTTTGAATGGTAAAGTGGTGGAGAATAGACACATAAAATGAAAAATGTATAATTCATCCTGCCTATATTTACTTGTATAGACTTGATTTAGGCAGAGCTTTGATGAGAGGTAGATATTGTAGATCCTGGATAAAGCACTGCAAACCAAGCAATGACTGCAGGATGGCATTCATGTAACAGGTGTTTCCCAGGTTAGAGAACCTGAAAGAGAACGTACAAACAGATCCATCAAAATAGATATTTGGATATTGTCATATGAAATGGAAAAGCAATGTGTCATTGCTATAGCAGTGGTACAAGCTTTGAAACCAAGTTGATGCGTTAACGCTATTTACTGGAATTGATCCTTAAAGATCATAATCAAGACCTAACATTGAGAAAGTCACAATTTCCATGTTTATTTGATAGCATTATTTTATCTAATTGTTGTGACACACACAAACAAATATTTATGTATCTACGTGGACCTAAGGCTTTAATTTTCTGCTTAGTTCTGTTTGAGGGACTCCGATGTTTAAGTAATGTTATAACATGAATACCCAACAATTAAAAGCTAACCAATCAAGAAGCCAGTCAATTCTCTACCCAGGTAAAATAAATTGATTCCTTGAATACTGTGTGTGTAACAGAGGCAAAAGCCTACTAGCCTAGTGAAAGTTTGAGGAATATTGAAGCATCTTGAAGGCGGTTATGAGTGCTAATTACTAAACAAGAGGCTATCATTATTATCATTAGAAAGATTAAAAAACAAAATATTTTTAAGGTATGTGGTTGCTCACCCCTGTAAGCTCTTTTGAGAAGACTCCAGCCCACTCGGTTTGTTCCAGGTTTTCAAGCTAAACACTGGCCTTGGCACTTTTGTTGACCTTGAGACTAGAAAGCCAGGTGTGGATTTCTTGTTTGACTCTTCAGACTGGGAGCTGCTTACACACGGAGTTCTGAAATCAATCACATCCCACATCAATCAATTCAATGCTTTGCTTTCTTTCCATTTTATAAATTCTTCTTCTTCTTCTTCAAGATAATCTGCCTCCTTCAATACTGAAGATTCTTGCAGATGCCGTATACTCAGCCTGGTTGGGGTATGCAGGTGGACCATTACACCGGGGTTTCCCCTACTTTTATACAAATAGTGCAATGGGTTCTTAACGTGCAAGGGTGGTGACTCTCCTGTACACGGGGCCTCCATTTAACGTCCTATCCGAGGGACAATGCATGCCGAGTAGATTGAACCTTATAAAGCTCTGTATTCACAAAGTATTACATAGAAGTACAGGTAGATAGGAGGAAGAACTGGGAGTACTGTAAGGTGGCAGTTTTCATAGTGAATGGAAATAAGGAGATAATAAATTTACAGCATTTCAAAAGTAGTAACCCATTATGACAGATATTGTTGTACCGGTATTTATTACCACCACATCAGTCATTACAAAGACAGTTTTCTAGATCTCCATCTATACTAATACAACTTTCCGAGTGGTTTAAGGCGCTTGACTGGAGATGCGAAGGTATAAGGTTCGAATCCCGACACGGCACTAATATCCTTTGGCAAGATATTAACCAACACTTGCTACTCTCCACCCAGGTGTTAAAATGGGTACCCGGTAGGATGCGGCCGTCATTGTTGGTCAAACAGCTTGTGAGCGTCAAGTAACGCCCGGCTGGAATGCTCCCCAGGGAGTGGAGATTGTGCACATAGTGTGCGGGCAAGCACTGAATCCAATGACCGGGGTAATAGTATATTTGTAAAGTGCTTAGAGACATTTGTATTAAGCGCTATATCAAAATAAATATTATTATTATTTTATTATGGTTAATCTGTAAGGACACCTCTCTCCATTCATCAAGATATTTGTGATTTTATTAAGACATAATGTTTATTCACAAATCTTAATCTGATATCAAAATACTATGGATTTATTGTAAATGTTGAGATCTCTTAAAGAGGAACTGATCTCTTCCCAATACATTCTAGCAATTCAATTACATTACATGTACACTGCACTATTGGCTCATACAGGTTAGCAGTCTTGGAAAATAATGAGAGTCAAATTCTGCAAATAATTATTTTGTCCTCAGAGGAACAAGAATATCTTATATGTTGTCTACATCGGAGCCTTTGGGTGGGTTTGGGCCAATGACATTGTTGTTGTGGTTTATATAAATGTAAGTGTTCTATAACCAATCGGCAAGAGCAGAGCTGCCAACATTTGATTTGGGTAATCAGGGAGATTTCTGAGAGAGCAGCATCGAACGAGTTCATTGTTGGCGGGAACCAAGAATGGCCTTTTAGTGCCCCTGGTGGGGGGGGGGGGGCAGGGGGCAGGCCCCCAAAAGCTCTTGGTTTTAAGCCTCTTTGAAACCCTTTTAGAACACATTTTTTCAATGATTTCTCAAAATGGAAGGCTTTGATATGGCACATTTTATTTGCATACAATTGATAACATATGAACTTCACATCATATTTCAGACTATGAACTCCTGTTACCTCTATTGTGAAATGGGGGATGTACTTGTGGAAGGCAAGGACTGGGGTGTGCTTGAGGGTTTTCCTTGAAGTGACTGGTAGGTTGCTTGCTTGAGTTTGCTAAGGAGGTCCTTGCTATACTCCCTTTGGTAGCATGGGACATCTGTGTTGGCAATTTTCTCTGTTAGGAGTGCTTGAAGTGTTTTCAAATTCATTGATCCCCTGAAATCAGTTTTGTTCTTCCTAACAATGCTAAAAACTCTTTCACATGAAGCATTGGAATGTGGTATCACAAGCAAAGATTTCATCACTTTGCTCAGAAGTGTGTATTTCTTTGAGCCATTGCCATCCTCCATCTTTGAAATTGCAGACCATTTCTTGTCTATTCTCAAGTTTTTGTTCAGGATCTCTGGTTCCCCTGAAAAGTCTTCAACCTGGTATTGTGCAAATTCCAGCTCAAGCTTGTCCAGGTCTCCATTCTCTGATTGTCTGTTCAAAATGCAAGGGTACTTTTCAACAAAGTATTGCACAGATGAAAATGACACATCTCTTCTGGAACTGACATCAATCACTTCAGCCTCCTTAAGGAACTTAACATCTAGTGGCCAGGTTTTCAAGGCATAGTCACATGCTGATTCATAATACTTCCTCACCGACAAGTAGAAGTATGTCAAATCAGCATCTGTAAGACGAAGGGGAGAATCATCTTCTGGGCTTGTTGTACTCTCCAGGTATTCCTTGGCATCTTTTCCAATCATTAGATCTTTATCTGACTTCTGGCAATCTCTCTTACCATACTGCACTTTCTTGACATCAGAACATTCAACAATCACTGTTGGCTGCACGAATCTAACAAGCATATCTTGGAAGGTTTTATTAAGCTGCTTATTAAGAATGTGAATGCAGGGTTCTTCTCTCTGTAGGAGTAGGTTGATGTCATCAAAGATCTTGTTACTGTATTTGAGGAAGTAACAATACAGTTTGGTTTGGGGTGATATCAGCAAACGATGGACTCTGACCAGACGTGATTCCTGATTTTGATTTATCATTAGTGATTTACTAATAGTATCAAGCATATGTTGCACAAAATATTGTGAGAAAAATAAATGAGTATTAGTAAAGCTATTACCTAAAATGTGCTCAAAATATTCATTATCGTTATCCCCGATAATTAACCAAAATCTTCTTCCTTGATAAAGAACACCTTCCCATGCACAGAATTGGATGAAAATTTCAGAATTTATTCTTTTTTATCATTCTGTGGTCAAATCTTTTAAATAACCTTGCATATGCCAGATAATTAACAAAACATCATTGTTACCGAGAGAGGGCGCTAAATACGATTTAACGGTCAAATTCGAATTTTCAAAACTAAGGATCGAAGCAATTCATAAAAATGATGCTATTGTCTTGCAATGTGTGTAACCTAACAAACTATTAAAGTTCATGATACTGGCATAAAACAGTCAACGTGCAGATTAGTATTTCAAATAAAAACATAAAATCGTGAGAAAATCCACCCTTCAAGTCCCGCACACGTGTTTATGAGTAAGTCTAAGTTTTAGGGAGATTAATGAGGTCCCCAACTACTGACGAAATGAACTCAGGTCTATGGTATAGAGGGGTAGACTATTTCTCGATTTTACAAATCTAAGAACTGTTCATACTAACCTGAAAAAGCTCTGTATTCCTTTTGTATTGCCCCTTGCTTTCGCGGTTTGCTTGTGTTTGTCAGATGTGATGTGGCGAAATACATCATTTCTTCCCCCACTCTTGATGGAGATATCTGCGCCGCAAACTGTACAAAATGCGTAGTATTCGCCTTTCGTAGATTTCCCAACACAAGGCCATTCCAAGTGGTAGTCATCTTTATATTTCTGATAATATTTCGACTTCGACATTGTCCTGGATGATATTTTAATACTCAAACAGAGAGCAAAATACAGCCTTGTTTTGGACAAAGTTGACTTACGCCTTCGGAAGATGCAAGTTATATCGATGCGTTCCCAACGGCAAAGGAGATCAGAAAAAAAAAGTCGGCTTCAAAATCCACTCTGCAGTAACACTGCCATGTTGGTATCAAATGATAATCCACTTAAAAATCACATCGCAAAAGTCCCCAAATCAATCCAAAAACTGATGTTGAAATGTGCAGTTTTTTGGGCCGATCGCAGCAGACAAAGTCTGCTTGTTGTATCAGTGCAACTTCTGGCTGCTCTGACGCGACCGATCGGAAACCGGCACCAACGTACCGGGACGCTACGGGGGCCGGCGAGGAAGCCGCCCGGCAGAGCAAGCAGGCGAATTGCTATCACACAAACACCACTCACATTATCACATGTTCCCAATGGTTTGTTAGATTAGCCCGCCAGTCGTTCGGCGTAACTCTCATTTATTACGCTGTTAAATAAAGTACGATATCACGGTAAATTTATATTCGACGACTGGATAACAGGAAAATTCATATTACAGAATTGCCGTGTGTTTGTATACGTACGTACGAACTCAACATGCTAGTCTTGTGAAACAGTCGTTTATGAAAATAATACAACTTAAAATCTGGAAATCCGGGAGATTTTTGCATGGGGTCGGGAAAACGGGATATTGGGTCAAAATCCGGGAGTCTCCCGCAGGATCCGGGAGACTTGGCAGCTCTGCAAGAGCATGTTATTTGTCCAATACATTACTGACATCTGTGATGTTAGTACATCTAATCATTGTATTAATTAATAGCACTTCTAAAAACTTAGACCAGACCAACTATGAAGTGTAATGGAGACCAAAAACCTTGGACTTGCCCCAATAAAAATTAATCTAATATTTGGATTGAATATTTCTTACCTAGAGATGAGGTCACTTGCTCCATAGCTTGACATTTGTCTGCCTCGGGAGTAGAAGTTATGAGATACAGCCATGGATGTGTTGGGACCTGGACAGAAAACAACATTTCATCAGCAACTGAAAATAACAATACCCATTGTACGTAAATCCTATCACTAAAAGTTGTTTTGCTGTGCATGTTTGAGTTCCGGGCTGGTATCAAACATCAAGATATCAGCTCTAAATAATTCCTCAGTCAGAGCTATTCAATTGCTCTCGCAAGAATGGAATAAGCAATTTCTGAGTAGACTAGTCAACAAAACACAGATTCATCGTCATGGATGACAGATAACAGGCCTTTTATAAGAGATAATGAAAACAAATATTTTATCAAATCAGATGCTACAAAAAAATAAAATTCCTGAGGAAATAAATTGGGTGAAAGAATGGCACAATGTTTAATAATGGAAAGCCTGCCAATTCATCACTAATTCTTTCTTATGCTACAGTTTTTTCTCATGTTTCAAAGTTACTTCTTCAAATTCAAAGAACATATTATGCATATATACTAAGCTTGGTCATACAACCGAAGGGCATTACCCTTTCTCTTGTTTTCACCCATTCCTTTTTGCTTCTCCTCAAATGAATCCAGGAATATAGAGTTACCAGATTTGATTCTCTTCTGCAGCACACCCTGTCTGTCTCCTCTTTGGAATGAACAGAAACACAAGACACAGAACAGGTTAATCACAGTCATGGAAAATTTTCTTTACAGATAAAATAATTATATTGATAAACTAATTTCAAATGACCAATTGTGTCACTTTAATGATGCACGATGAAAGATGATAATGTCATAAGGATAACGATTGGGATAATGATAGTCCTCAGGTTCATCACAGTGATGAATGTTGGTGGTGATGATGCTGATAAAGATGATGATGATGATGATGATTGTGATGATAATGATGACGAAGATGATGATGATGATAATGATGACGAAGATGATGATGATGATAATGATGACGAAGATGATGATGATGATAATGATGACGAAGATGATGATGATGATAATGATGACGAAGATGATGATGATGATAATGATGACGAAGATGATGATGATGATAATGATGATTATGACGAAGATGATGATGATGATGATGATGATGATGATGATGATGATGATAATGATGACGAAGAAGATGATGATGATGATGATGATGATGATGATGATGATGATGATGATGATGATGATGATAAAGATTATGATGACGATGATGAAGATGACAATGAAATGTAGTGGTTGTCATATCAAACGATGTATATAATAAAACAATATTTTGAATTGAACATTGGACATGAGTAAAAAAGACAGAACATGAGATTAATGATTAGCAGAGTTACAAGTCACCTGCTAGGTGTGTATCTATTCTCCTTATCCGTCTGATCGGAGAAAAGCATCGACACTCCTAAATTTTCAGCATCATCTCCATCAGCTTCTTCTGGAATCTCATCATCAGGGGTCTTGCGTTTGCTGGTTTTCCATGGGGAAAAAGGCTTCTGAATTGAAGTTGGTGTCCTCACACTCGTGAATTCCTCCCGATCACGAGACCTAATCTGACTTGGTGTCTAGAGACAGAAATAACATAATAACATTACACTACAATTATATGAACTTGATGGCACTGTAGTTTGACTTGGGGGCCAATGCACTATGACTATTTTACTGTCTTCCTGTTGGCTCCCTCCACAATTAAAATGTTTATTCCTATTCCATTCTGTTTTAATTTACTTTTACAACAAACAACATGAAACAATCATTGACACGTTGGCCCGAATTCACAACAGTGGTACAAAGAGGGATTGTACCATGGGTGTGGTACAAAACCCCCCTCCGAGGTTTAAACCTCTGATTTTGGTATTCACAAAGCAGGTTTAAACCCCCGGGGGGTTTAACTACGTCATAATTTGGTCTAGATTTTGCACTACCCTGAGGTGTAGTACAATCAGTGGTACAATCAGTGGTACAAGCCCCCGTGCGTGCGCAAACACCACCTCCTCTGCTCTTCTTGAAATTGGCGCTGAAATTGTTGAACAAAAATCACAGACGACATTTATTGAAATTTTATGTCAGTCATATCGTGTGCGGCAGAATTGAAAACACGAATCGTAAGTAAATCGATGTATTTCCGTCGGGAACATTCATTTACTAGTTATCAAATGTGTTTGTTCAATTTATTTCTCGTTCATTTGATGAATATATAAATTCCACTCGTAATCAGACCATGCCACTGTTGTTTTTCACTTGGGTTTTATCGCAAGAATTGTTTTTATACAGTCCCATTCGTTCATTTTTACGTTGGCTGAGCCGTCATTTTCGGCCGGCCCAGTGCAGCTCATGAGCTGCAGTGGCAGCGCCCGACACATGACATAGTCATAGCTGCATTAGACTACTAATCCTGGCGCTGGCTGTGTATAATTAAAACCTGTTTTATTATTGATTCACAACATTTCAAACACAACTGTTAAAAAATAAACTGATTTCACTCAAAATCGGTACTTTAGTGACAATTGATGACACGTAAATAGACCTCTAACGTTAGCAGTAAAATACAACTTTAGACCAAGTTTTTCAACTCGCCAAAAAATGTTACTGTTAGTGTTAGTAGGTCTAACAGTTAGATCTACTGTTGGGACCTCTAGATCTAGGTCTACTGTCAAACTTAGAAAATCTAGAACAGTTAGGCCTACAGCCGGCCGCATCGGCATGATTGTAGTCTATAGACTCTAGCCTAAAAAATTTGTGAAAACCGAGACAGGAGGCGTTCCATGGATTTATCAGGTGGTGCCGTAGGCCATTAGGTAGGCTTACAAAATTAGATCTAGGCCTATGCAAAAAAATCAAAATCTAAAAAAATTGAGATAGACCCTAGGTCTACAAGGTTTTGTCACCCCACCGACGGTATGCATTTGTGTATAGGCCTAGATCTAGACTGTAGACAGGGCTGTCAACTTTGGGGAACTGCTTCGAGGGAGATCATTCATAGACCTAGATCTAGACTAGTCTAGGTCTAATAATAAGTAATATGCAATTTTTTTTTTGGGGGGGGGCTTAACAAAATTTAAAAACAGGGAAGGGGGGGGGGGGGTGTTGAGTAAGAAAACAGAATTAAAGTGCTCACTACCCCCCCCCCCCCCATATGATACGAGTACGCTGGTTCATTTTACACGTTTGGCGTGGTGGCGGGAGTTTCCCGCTACAACTTACGAATACAAGCTGGTGCCGGTGGGACGGCAGGAGAATGAGCGTGGTGGCGTTAGACTCCCTCCAAATGCGGGAGGGTTGACAGCCCTGTATTCATGTGTGCAAATGCTGTCTGTAAGACGTAGTGCAGCGCTAGAGCCTAGGTCAATACACATTAGCATTGACTCCCTAAGGACCCTATGCTTTCATTTGCTGGTGTGCCACCAGGCGGGGGCCTAGTGACTAGATTAGTAGATAGTAGACCTAGCCTAGATAGTAGATCTAGGTCTACTCATCTAGACCTAGTAGAATCTAGTCCTCGACCTCCCACTTGTTTCTTCTTCCTCCATTATTCGGAGATCACTCACGATTCCTGGATTTTAACTCATATTCTTTCTATGAATCAAGTTCGCGTAGATCTAGACTAGTCTAGTAGTAGTCTGGTAGTGGTCTACTACCAGACTAGATCTCGCATTTGATCAACGCGAAAGTGATTCATAGAATATGATAGTTAAAATCCGGGAATCGTGAGTGATCTATGAATAACGGAGTAGTATAGGCCCCAGACTAGTAGTAGTAATGTATATGTATAAAGACCTGGAAATTGGAATAGTCATGTGTAGATCTAGAATCTATTCTAGATCTAGACTCTACTCGCATAGACTAGTCTAGATCTACTTCCTAGTAATAATCATTGCTTAGATTGACAGAATATCAGAACATCTTTCATCATTATTTCATGATTCACTGTTCATTGTGCTGCATGGTTTGGAAAGAAATGTTGACTTCAAATTATCAGGAGTGGTGGGAGGGGGGGGGGGGTTGGAACTTACTGGAAGCCAATAAGGCAATAGTACCCAGCTCTAGACTAGTCTGAAGTCTAAGAACTCCCAAAATACCGGCTTGATCTAGTGACCTAGTTAGGGCTACCGTAATTGAATCGTTTTTCCTATGCAGAGCATCCTGGAGTTAGGCGGGGTGAGTCGTCTGGCAAGGTTGCGATTTTGTTTTTCTTTAACAGTAGTCTAGAGAGTAGAGTCTATATGATCTATAAACTTTGGTTAGTTAATTAGCTTGTGTTTTAGTTTTACTTCTATGGTAATGTATGAAATAAATGCATTTTTTTAAATATAGATGTTGCCTTTAGTAATTCAGACTCCTAACAATTTCATTTCATTATTGTTCCACAGACAACTGCTGAACGAGAAAGGAAAAACCTTCGCCGCATCCAGAGAGTGAGAGAGGTAGGATTAATTTTTTTTCTTTCTTCTATTGAATCGTCAATAACTTGTTCAATTTAATTGATTAAAATTAAGAATAAACTAGAAATTTAATTCGTCATGGGGACGAATTAGGTGGTCTGTTTTCAATTTTATGATCATTGAAAAGTCAAAAAAGAAAAAAAATGAAGAAAAAAAATTGTTGGAGACTCCCGGACTCGAACCAGGGATCTCGAGTTTCGAAGTCAAGTGCGTTACTGATATACCAAAACATTTCCCATAGCGATTACACGTAAACGGAAAATGAAATTCTCAAATCCCACTTTGCAAGTGAAATATGAGCATGATCCCGTCATCTGATCGAGAAATAAATGGCACACTTGTGATAGCTTATTGTCTCAGCTACAACATACTCGATGCTCAGCGAAAACGAAGCTGAGACAACGGAGATATTGCTCGTGAAAGACGGGAATGTAGAATCCAGTTTTCAGAAAAAGTCATGTCCCATAGAGAATACACGCAAAATGTGAAAAATTGACATGCCTCCTTTAATCGCAAAAATACGCCATGATGCTTTCGTCAAAATGAAAATTCGTATGACTGCATCTGTAGAGAATTGTCTCAACTAAAACATATCAAAATGTGGATGAAAATTGATCAATATTTACAGAGATACAATCAATTTTCCAAAAATATGATGACGTCATAATATGCAAATTGAAATTTTGAGTTCGGAGGCCATTATGATGACGTCATGAGTCAATTGAGGGTCAAATGAGACATGAAATCATATCTCCAATTCATACTCTATCAAAATATGAAAACAAAATTGGGTTCATCTTCCATCCTAAAGCGCTACAATGGATTTTGTATAGGCATGTTTTTGCCCATGTATGCTATGTATTACAAGAGCTCGCACGCACGGACATTATCTTAAACGGACGGTCATTCCGTTATTAATGGGCAGAAAAAGGTGAACAAGGTATCAAAATGCTTGGAAAAATGTGCTAAATATGATGACAGAGAAAATTTGGCGATTTTATGTTGGCAAATACCAGTACGCGCGAAATTTTAAACGATTTGGAGCATTTTTATTTTTTGCGCGCACGCTGACGCGCGGACGTACGCATGCGAGCGCGTTTTTTTACCTGAAATTGAACGGACGGATATTGACCTTAATCATGATAAATATGAATGAGAAATGCTTTTCCGTTAAGAAGATATGATCATGAGTAAAAAGTACCAAAAAAAACACAAAACGGCGCCTGGATGACGTCATGAAGATTTGATGACCTTGAAAATGTTACTGTCACGTCTCATGACAATGACCTATGACTGTGCCGAAATTGAAAGAAATTGATTGAACCGATCTTGAGTTATCTTGTAAACAAAAAAGGGTGTAAAATAAATAAAAATAAAGAAATAATAATAATAATAATAATAATAAAGAAAGAAAATTCTGACGAAAACAATAGGTGATCTGTCGAAAACGACAGACCACCTAATTAAGGGGTACGTCTATCTAAATTGATAGATCTAGTAATTTTTAGGTTTTAAGAGACACGAGGACTGTTCATGAATGTTGTTACGCATACCACCAAGTACCAGTACCCATTAGGCCTAGATCTACTTCCTTTTTCTTTGCAAATATCCATTTGAGTAAGACTTAAGATCATTTTTTAAAAATATTTACATCTTGCTGATGAAATTTGAACTCTCATATTCTACGAATCAAGTTCGAGTAGTATGAAGACCTGGAATAGAAATGTGTTCAATCTACATCATGTCATTGCTGAGATTGTTGACAGAATATCTTTCATGATTCACTGTTTTGCCATGGTTTAAAAAGAAATGTTGACTTCAAATGATCTAGAGTGGGGGGGGGGGGGGGGGGGGTGTGAAGCCAATACCCAGCTCTAAGAACTCCCAAAATACCCTGACCTAGTTAGGCCTAATTGGGAAATCAATCCTACGGTACGGAAGAGAAGGAAAGATGACTATATAATGAAAATCATTCTTTAGACATGCACTTTTTTATTGAATATTTCAACTCGTCTCATCAAACTATATCTATCTTTTGCATACAGGTACCTCAGCCGAGACCTATTCGAGGTCTGAGGGATGCGAAAAATCCACTTGAATTTTACGAGGATGAAGCGTTTCAACTGCGATACCGTTTCTCAAAGGAAACGGTAATCTACCTCATCAACATGCTTGAAGGGGACTTGAAGAGGAACACAGAGAGGAATGATCCACTACCTGTTTATCTGCAGGTTTTGACGGCTCTTCGTTTCTATGCCGTTGGTGAGTACTTAATTTTTTCTTAAACTAAACTTGTGTATAACCGTACACCGTTTTTAAAGGGTTCGTACAGGTCATTGAAAATTGAACACCAGCCTGAATTTGACTTTAAAAAATATACCTTTTTAATAAAAATTTAAAAAATCTCTCTTGAGCATTACCTTCTTTCATGTACATGATCTTCTTGGCAATTTTTCTGCAATGTTAGAAAATATTTTTCAGACAATCTTCTATTAACCTAATATTATTTGATGTTAGCGCTCTGAGCCTTATGGGAATGGGGCCCTAAATGTTCATTGTATTGTATTGTATTGTATTGTATCTCATTTTCAATTATAGGATCATTCCAGAAGATGCATGGTGACGAGGCAACAGTATCACAGTCCTCTGTTTGTAGAATCATTAAAGATGTTTCGGAAGCTATTGCAGGAAGGAAGAGGCAATTCATGAAGTTTCCAACAACGAGAGATGAAATTGAAACGACCCAGCAGCAATTCTACGAGTACTGCGGATTTCCAGGGGTCATAGGTGCTATCGATGGGACTCATGTCTACATCAGGAGTCCTGGTGGGTATCAAGCCCTGTACTTCATGAACAGGAAGAACAGGTATTCTGTGAATGTACAGGTAAGACTAGTTACAATTTTTCTTATTGACTTTATTGCTAGCTTACAAAATGTTTGCAACCATTTTTCCAACTTCCCCGTTGGCTTCTTTGATTGTTCATCATATTAAACTTTCATTTTTTAAAATACTTTTGCCTTGTTTGCCCCCTCTCCCCCCTCCCCCTAGATACGCCACTGGTTACTTTATTTTGTATTGGGAGTCAAACATTTGTTACAATAAGTAGCCTAGACAACATTACACTTTGGGAAAAATATGATGAAAATGTAAGAAATGAAATGCATGTGAAAATAAAGAAATTAAAGTCTATCTATGAAGTTCAGTATGAGTTTGAGATGTGTTTTTCTCTTCAACTTATTGGTAGGTTGTTTGTGATCATGCTGGGAAAATGACAAGTATCGTTGCAAGATGGCCTGGCAGCACTCACGATTCCCAGATTTTCTCAGAGTGCACACTGAAGGAGCAGCTAGAGGCAAGGGCAGATGGTACTGAGTTGCTACTTGGAGATAGTGGGTATGTGGATTGGTGTTTTGTTAATGGTAATCCAATTGTAATCACAAATGCAGACATGCAGCAGTGGCGGATCCAGGGGGGGGGGGCCGGGCCCCCCCCCCTTGAGAAAAAAATCATGTAAAATCACGTGATTTTTACCTTTTTGGGGGGTTGGGCCCCCCCCCCCCTGGCGCTCAAGGGGGGGGGGGGGGGGGGGGGGTGCAAATTGAATTTTTTTTTTGAGGATTAAAAAAAAAAAAAAATGTGCTCACTACCCCCCCCCCCCCACTGAGCGCATTTTTGGCCGGCGCGTTTTTCAAATTTTCGGGAGCAAAAAAAAAAAGTTGGGCCCCCTCCCCTAAGAAATCCTGGATCCGCGCCTGACATGCAGTACATGTTGATACATATTCTTTTAAAAGTCCTTTGTAGGATAAAGATACCGTTTAATGAAAATTTAGATTGACCATTCTTTCTTGAATTATTAAATTCATACTTGTTATTTTGAGTAAGCAATAGTGTTGCGGAAATTGAGACATTTGGATAGATTTGGACCTAGTCTTGCAGGCATTAGCAAGAAACGGATCACGATAATTATTTTACTTTGTACTGAAAAGCACTTCAATTTAAACAACAAATTTTAAGAAATTGAAATTTTTCTCACACAGCCAATGCAGACAGTTTGTTTTGGAATGCTAGATTGATATTCTAGATTACTTTCTTCTACAATTATATCATTATGATGTAAATTAAAGAAATGAATATCTATAGTACTTATAATTTCCTTAGGGAAGGAATAACAAGTGAATTTTTTGTTTTTATCTTCAAATTTCAGGTACCCGTGCCTCCCCTATCTCCTGACTCCTCTCCTACGTCCTCAAGGACGGCCAAATGTGCGCTACAATACTGCCCACAAAAGAGGGCGGTGCGTCATTGAGCGCACATTTGGCCGTTGGAAGAGGAGGTTCCCTTGCCTCAATGATCTGAGCGTGAAGGTGGACACTACATTTACAATTATAGTGGCTTGCTCGGTCCTGTGGAATATCTCTCTCGACCGCCGTGAGCAAGATATTCCAGGACCTGAGCCCGATGAGATGCCACTTGTCCACCTTCCTCCTGGCCTCCATGACGCTGTCGCTGGTAGGTTAAGGAGAGATCAGATCATTGAGGATCACTTCACCCATTAACAGTCAGTACGCTGCTGCAAAAAAAAGCGCCTGTATTTATCGTAGTTGTATGCAAGCCCAGCGGTTAATATGCGTGCATATGCAATAACACAGACATGTTTCTACCTATACAAAATGGTTTCTTGTTAATCATTTTGCATGAATGATAAGTCGAATTGAAGAGGAAAAACTGCTCTTTCATTAATCTGAATGAAATATAAACTGGACTCCATTACCTTATGAAATACTTTGTCATCGAGTACAAGCTTACCGGTACCTTTACCCTATTTCTGAGAATTTAGACATCACTCTTTGTATGGTTTGAAGATCAGGTAATTTGTTGACTCGAATTTTGGGGGCTACTTTTCAAGCTTGCTTGCATGAAAATAACACTCTTTAAAGGGATCCGGTTACTTTTTTTGTCTCAGATTCTGAATCAAAATTCTGGATTTAGCTCATGATGCAATGATAATTATAAACCTTTAGGTCAGTCAGGAACCCCATGACTTTTACAAGCCGATCGCCTGTCTGAATATCAAGATATTTATGATTGGAATAACAAATTTTGAAAACCGTTCACCTGACGGTTTTCATAACACTACAGTCTATTGGGGAAAACGAGTATGGTAAAATCGGTCACTCAAAGATTTTTACTTTTTGAGGCACTTCTTGATCATTTTGAAGCGCAATTTTTTTAGGGCTTCAATATTACACCCTATCACAGACACTGATAACACGTAGGGCCGTGTATATCAGATTTAACATTGTTAAACGATCCCTTTAATTGTATCCCCCGGCAGTATGCCGGTGGGGTACTTTGGATTCAGCAGCGTTACGCCGCCGCCGCCGCGTCATATTCGTGTGTGCGCTCTCACTGCCACATTTCTTGATGGATTTCTTTCAAATTTTGTATGGAGGTGTATCCTGGTATAATCTACATACCTATAACTTTTGGTGATGCTGCCCCCAGTGTTCCGTCTTCTATAGGGTACAAGGCCATATTTCTGTGGATGGTTTGTGTGCGCTCTATAGGCCACATTTTTAAAGGGATTTTGTTCAAATTTTGAACGAAGGTGTATCTTGGTATAATCTACAAGCCTATAGATTTTAGTGATGCTGCCTCCAATGTTCCGTCTTTTATAGGGTCAAAGGTCATATTTTGATAGATGTCTTGTGTGCACTCTAGTGTGCGCTCTAACTGCCACATTTCTTGACGGATTTCTTTCAAATTTTGTATGGAGGTGTATCCTGGTATAATCTACAAGCCTATAACTTTTGGTGATGCTGCCCCCAGTGTTCCGTCTTCTATAGGGTACAAGGCCATATTTTTGTTTGTGTGCGCTCTATAGGCCACATTTCTAAAGGGATTTTGTTCAAATTTTGAACAAAGGTGTATCTTGGTATAATCTACAAGCCTATATATTTTAGTGATGCTGCTTGTATTAAGGTTCATTATAGTTTACTCTAGACCTCCACAAATTTGGTGCTGCTACCCCCCAGTATTCCATCTCTTATAGGGTCAAAGGTCATATTTAAAGGAATATCTTGTGTCGCTATGCAAATCACATTTCTTTCAAATTTTCTTTAAATATGCATCATAATCTGATCTACACACCTATTGTTTTGGTGATGCTGCTCCTAGTCTTGACAATAGTCTGAGCCACTTGCGGCAATCTCTACGTCATCCTTTTGTTTCACAAAGAGGAGAGGGAATCTTTGTCCCTCCTTCCACATAAGGATAACACAAAATCGCTGCCACTGCCGGGGGATACATTCGCATTGCGCGGCAATACAGATTGCGATATTTCTAGTTTGTTTTGCATTGAACTCTATGCAAATTTTGGGGGCTCTTTTATGACTTTCGGGAGCTCTTTTGGGCATTTTAAACATGGCTGCTCAAAAAACTGCGCATGCGCGAGAAAATGGGAGTCTACATCATCCCCTGCAATATTCATAAATGAGAAATTTATAAAATTTTAATAATGAGACTTCATTACATGATGCTGTAAAAACGTCCATTTCGCAAAAATATATCAACAATTCATATCATTTGGAAGGAAATATTCTGGAGATCGACTTACGCAAATGCAGTCTACATCATCCCCTGCAATATTCTTGCACGATATTGTAACTTCTAGTTTGTGGATATTATTGCTCAAGCTGTTTTGAGACGCACAATAACTTACGCATGGTATGCTAATTAGCGAGCGTGCAGCGGTCTGACTGTTAAATTAAAGTAGCCACTCAGAACTATCTGCTCTGCCTCCAGCGGTTATTTCAGTTCCTGCAGAGGAAATCCGGGAATTGTGATGCTGACAAGGTACTTGTTATTTTTCCAGCATGCAGGGTTTTATGCAACTACATTTGCAACTCAATTACATTCTACATCATAGTCAGGTCTTTTTTTCTAAGGGGGGGGGGGGGTCTTGGCTATTTTGTTTGTATTACAAACAAAATAGGATCCTTTTGCTCCAAATCGCTAAATTAAAATTCGCAAATGCATATTTTGTTTATGGGTCTTCTGTGTAATATTCATGTTATTTGAATGAGAACAAAAATTATAATGCAATTATGCATGCCTATATTTTTTGGAATATTTGATCAGACATGTAACTCCAAATTTGTACATGAAATTTCAAAATATTGACAATAAATAAAAGCTTATATTTTTTGTTGCAAATTACATCAAACTTAAACTATTCGCTTAACATTTCAATCATTTAAAACGATGGCAAAAAAATGAGAAAAAAAATGACATGAAAACAGAGCTTTTTTGCAAAACATGAAGAGGGGGGACAAATTCTGCTAGTGGCCTGATTAAGGTTAAAAACCTGACAGTGTGGAGACCAGAATTTAAACAGGTTTTGATTAATATCTATGGCGTTCCAATACTGGCATTCTCCTACTACTCTAGAATGTAATTAAGAATGTAAGTTTAGCTGTATGTAGCACTGCAAAACAAACAACTTTTGCATAAAGCGGTATCCTGTGATTCCTGTGAAGAAGTAATTTGGCTGTTTCCTACCACTGATTCCTGATCTAAACATATCTCATTGGTACACCTAGCACTCCTGGTTACCTGTAGTACTAGTAAAATTGTTTGTTGACTTGTTTCAATTTCTTCTCTCAATGTTTTTAACCTCGGGATTGCATCATCCTTCTTGCACTAGTTTTCTTACCATCTTAGATGATTTACATGACTGTGGTATTGATGCCTCGTCATCATGGTGTCAAACCTGTAGCTGTCACTACCTGTTATTTAATGGAGTATTTTTCTTCGTGTTTCTCTTAAGAATATCCTCAAGCATGTTGATGAAGTAATATACTGTTAGCTTCATTCTCGTAAAATTCAAATTAATAATATTTGGAGCCAATACCACCAAATTTTCATTGTGAATTGCTGTCACTACTATTACAGATATTTTATGCCATATGTTAGATCTTAATTATTACCCAAAAAATAAATAAATTGCTCGAACATGTTACTTTGTGTCAGTTTTTGTAGGTAGCAATTTAGTGAAATAAATGGAAAGGCAGAACAAAAATTTAAAACGATGGAGAGTTGTAATTTATTGCTATATGTACAGTGTAATTCCAAAGTATTGAATGGCATTTATGTGCAAGAAACATTTGAAAATCACATGTTAAATCAGTTTGTGATCAATGTAGCACTATGTTGAACAGAAAACCTTTGCAGAGTCGAACAGATCCTACTTTGCAGCTGTTCATTTGAAGACATGTTTATATATACTTTATATTTACATTGGCAATGGTATTTATGTGCAAGAAACATTTGAAAATCACATGTTAAATCAGTTTGTGATCAATGTAGCACTATGTTGAACAGAAAACCTTTGCAGAGTCGAACAGATCCTACTTTGCAGCTGTTCATTTGAAGACATGTTTATATATACTTTATATTTACATTGGCAATGGCATTTATGTGCAAGAAACATTTGAAAATCACATGTTAAATCAGTTTGTGATCAATGTAGCACTATGTTGAACAGAAAACCTTTGCAGAGTCAAACAGATCCTACTTTGCAGCTGTTCATTTGAAGACATGTTTATATATACTTTATATTTACATTAGCAATTACATTTGAAGTGCAAGAAATATTTGAATCACGCTTAAAATCAATATGTGAACGATATATCTTAAATGTAGAATTAAACATGTTTAACAGAACAGCTTAAATTATTTTTGATTAATTAGTTAGATGAGATGTATTACCCTGTTCTTCAAGCATTTTGGCTTCAGCAACCTGTTTCTCTATTTTGATAATCTCCATACGCAGTTCATGCTCTTTTATTTTTAAATTGTGTTCTTTCCATAAAATGTCCAGCCTTACGGCATGCTCCTCCTCTGCCAATTCAACCATCCTATCCTCTGCTAACCGACATTTCTTGTTTTGTGAGTTGAAACTCAATGCTCGCTTAGCAGCAGGAGTCCTCAGAAGAGCAGTGTTGATTTCTGTATTGCTGTATGGTTCAGATTCAGAATAATTTGATACATGTTAATCGTTGCATATATTACTACATTTAATTTATTGTAAATATAACAAACATGGCTTAAACCTTGATTGTCACAGATATATTTGTGACATTATTTTCCCTTCTCTAAACTTCAGCTTTTGAAAGATATGTAGTAGCTGTCTGCTAAAAAAAAAAAATTAAAAAGAGTTTTGTGCATATAATAGACAAGATAATTTTATGCAAAATGTATTACACTTTAATTGATAAAACAATGTTTGGTAAATCATAATTGTTATGTAGGAGGGAATAACAAGTTTTATTTTTTTTAATAATAAATTACTCAATATTGTATAGTTATGGATACCTTGAAAGGGATCGTGGGGTCGCAGTAGATGTACTAGGCTGGGAGGCGAGACCTTCGGACATAACTTCGGATGAGGTTGTCCTATTGGGATAAAAAATAAAATATTTTTTGTAGTTATGCATGAACTTGAAAAATGTTGCAAGAATTTTTCTTTGGAATTCAGGTTTAATTTATTAATGTCTTCAGTACTGAAACTACTGATCCTAATGTTATGCAAAATGTAATACACTTTAATTGATAAAACAATGTTTGGTAAATCATAATTGTTATGTAGGAAGGAATAACAATTTTTTTTTTTTTTTAATAATAAATTACTCAATATTGTATAGTTATGGATACCTTGAAAGGGATCGTGGGGTCGCAGTAGATGTACTAGGCTGGGAGGCGAGACCTTCGGACATAACTTCGGATGAGGTTGTCCTATTGGGATAAAAAGTAGTTATGCATGAACTTGAAAAATGTTGCAAGAATTTTTCTTTGGAATTCAGGTTTAATTTATTAATGTCTTCAGTACTGAAACTACTGATCCTAATGTTATGCAAAATGTAATACACTTTAATTAATAAAACAATGTTTGGTAAATTATGATTGTTATGTAAGAAGGAATAACAATTTTTTATTTTTTTAATAATAAATTACTCAATATTGTATAGTTATGGATACCTTGAAAGGGATCGTGGAGTCGCAGTAGATGTACTAGGCTGGGAGGCGAGACCTTCGGACATAACTTCGGATGAGGTTGTCCTATTGGAATAAAAAATAAAATTATTTGTAGTTATGCATGAACTTGAAGACCTGTTTATATATACAAAAATAATACTGCAAATAATCCAATTTCGTTATGTTAAAAGAGTACTACATTAGGAAAAAATGTATGCCCTACTGGTCTTATATTGTATTATCAAAGAAACATGATTGTACATTACCCAAGTAGAAAATATTACTGCAATGTATATATATATGTATTACAATTTCTTAATAAAAAGGACATTATTTTGAAAAATGTATTTTTGATTTTATAATGCCGTACTCTTCAATACCTTGGTTCGAGAAATGATCCTGTTGACAGTCCTGTGTTTGTTGGTGTTGATCTTGACCTGAGAATGTGAGAAAAGTAACTCTTTTATGAACAGAAAAAGGGGAAAAAATCCTGAATGAAAAATAACCCAAGTCCAAATTTTGCCCAAATTAAGTTAAATATTTGTTTTTGTTCCTTGATCGTACAACTATCTTATGTATAATAGGTAACCTTTCATTCACCCTGGATGTTCTGGTACCCCCCCCCCCCTCCTTTTTAAAAAAATTTAAGGGAGGGGGAAAGAAATTCCAGTATCAATCATCTCTATTTTTTGGAAATTAAAAAACGAACATGGAATTCCGTCTTTTCTGACATGAAATTTAATTTATTTTTTAACATTCATAATTGTAACATCGAATGGATTACATTTTATTATGGTGGATTATGTATGGTAACTGAGAGGACTTATGATTTCTGGAGTGGTGGATATGAAGTATCAATACCGTCATGCTCTTTCCCTTAAGGGTCGAGGAGTCCTCGATATATGAGAACATGACAGATATTTTTAACAATCATGTCATTCTAAAAAAAAAAATGGCAAATTGTTAAGAACCTATTTCTCTTCATTTCATTTAGCTGAAAAGATAATTTGCGGCTTTAACCCCCCCCCCCCCCCCCCCGCCCCCACCAACAACAAAAAAAAAAATGAAATTCTTTCATTCTATTAATTCTATCAAAAGAAACAAGAAATACATACTTACTAATCATGTACTTTTAGTATCAACAAAATTGATAAGAGATTTAGACAACTGTTTGAAAGTGGTTTCTGTATGGACAATATATATATTTTTATTTGTTTGTTGTTGTTTTTTTTTGGGGGGGGGGGGAGTGGCATCATTTTGAATTATCACTATCATTTTTATTGTTTGATAAAGAATCGCCCCAGAGGATTACATTTTTCATTAAAAAGGAATGTAGTGAACAATACATGTAAGGCTAAACATTTACAAGCTTAACTTTAAGGAATATTTACAGTGTAAAACAATTAAGGAGAATCTGTCATAAAAAAATAAAAAAATAAGTACAGGTAGAACCAAACGATAGACAAGTCATGTTTGGGGATGGGGGTTACTTCTGCTTTAATATTTCACTATCTAGCTTGCCATATAAAGAAATGTAACGTTCAGACGTTAGTCCTTTTTTTTTTCTTCAAACGCCAACTCTATCGGCAAACAGAATGTTTGTTTGTATGTTTGTTTTTTAATGTAGATGTAATTTTTTCTTTAAAAAAATAAAACTTTTGTGTGGACATTGGTAGGCAAGTGATAAGTTCAAATCTACCTCGGATTCAATGATTTTTAATAATTTTTTATTTCAAGAACAAACATGACGGTTAAAAAAAAAACCAACGTAATTTACTGCGCATGTCACGTCAAGAAAATCCATTCACAAAAAAGTTGTGGAACTTCTAACAGAATACTTTAGTCGAGGCCGGTACGCTCCATTCCGACGGATATTTTTTCAGATAAAATTCGTTTCATCACTGATTGTAAGTAGTTCAATGAACATATTTAATGATCAATTCATTATGCTTTCAACGAAAATTGGAATTTTACTTATTTGAGGCTATTCAGGCCAACTTTTAGATGCTAGTAACCCCTACGTCGCAAGTGATGTCTGTGAACAACAAGCCGAGGCATGCAGAGTCTTCTCGGCCAGCTAAACGTTAGGCATATTACTAGATCTAGGGTGTTGCTTCAATTTCATGACATTAATTTCTACGGATGGGACTGATCTCGGACGAGTGACGATGAGCAGACGATCGTGACTTGTTCGATGTTTACTGTTTTATTTCATTCCATCTAGTAAATGTAAGGTGTTATATAGCATCTTATGTTATTCATCTTGCAATGAATGATACATTTTTAGCGATTTTAGTGGTTTTATTTGTTAAATTTGCACATAAAAAATCTCAATCTACATGTAGCCAAAAGAGAAAGAGCTGAATTGAATTTGATATCCTGAGCGGCTTCGACAGAGTAAATCCCTCAAAATTCTTCCAACTATAGCCACTGGCTCAATAACAAGAGGCCATCATTTCTAGGTAGTCAAACAACGTTTCAATACAAGACTTAGGCAGTAGAGTCTATACTATTTAGTTTCTCAATAATGAGTGTAAATGATTGGAATGGCCTTCCCTGAAGTAGTAAAGAACTGGTCAATGCTGCCACCAATTATTCATTTATTAGATCTAGCCTAGGCCTAGCCTAGAATGGTATTGGAGAAACAATCTTAAGTAAGTTTGAACCATAATTGAGATGGGAAGGATCAGTAAAGAGGGAAAATAAGCTAAGCTTCCAGTCTCTACACCCAAGTAGTCTATACAGATCTAACATTAGTTACTTACTCATTACGGCCAGTTGCTATTGACGTCAGGGAATTTATGGCGATGATGTTTTCTTGGTCCTGGTTGTTGTCATCGTCGAATCTATTCCTGAGCTGTACAAAATCATACGGGCAAAGTTCCTTAACTATGATAGTGAGGTTGCTGGGTTCAGGTGGAGGTGGCCCTCCTCCTGTCTTTCTGCTCTCTCTAGTATAGTTAGAATACTCTTTCTTCGCATTAATCCGGATCCTTTTCCATTGATCCTTTATCTGGGTGCAACTCCATCTCCTTCCAAACTTTGCATGGAAGGCTTCAACCAAGGCCTCCCAAGCACCAGCTTTGTTCGAGTTTGTAAGATAATCAGTCTTTCTAGACAGTAATATACCCTTCCTCTTGCTTATCATCTCTATCAGGAAGTTTCTCTCTCCCACTTACCAGTTGCCTTTCGTCCTCTCCATCCCTGCACACACAGTAGCTGCATCACCCTCCATTTTTAGATGTAGCAGACAGCATCTGATCTACTGAGCATGCTCAGTAGAAAGAAACCATGGTACAATCCATGGTACAATCCACGGTCTAGGATTGTACCATAGTACAATTGAAACTATCGTTGGTGAATCAGAGAGAGGTTTAAACCCCCTGGGGGTTTAAACCATGGTTTCAAAAACCTAGGGGGGGGGGGGGGGTTTAAACCCCCGGGGGGTTTTGTACCACTGTTGTGAATTCGGGCCATTGTGTATTATTGTTTAACTCATTTAAACATATTTAAATTGTACCATAATTGTTGTGGAAAATAATTGAATGTATGAACTTACCAAAGCTTGCTCTCGAGAGGTTTTGGTCTTCTGAGGAGAAATCAGAGTCTTAACCCAAGGTGGAGATGTCTTGTCAATCTGAGATACACTGCATGACTGAGAGGCATTCCCACCGGCCTTGCCTTCATGCACACACACATACACAAAATAATTTGTTAATCATGTTCACTAAGACAATAAACACTGAATACTTAAGTCATTGTTAAATTTTTGTTAATTTCTTCATGTTACCAGAACAACTGTAAATTTGTTTATTTAATCCTTAAAAGGCTGGGTCGGTTTGGTATATTCTCGCCAGAGAGGGACTTATTCCATGCCCCCCCCCCTCCGATCTCTGCCATGGATTGACATTACAAATCTTAAACCCGACGTATAAATGTAGCTTATAATGTATATGCCCACAAACTGTCACATAAATTAATCAATACCTAACACAGTCTTAGAATGAACTAATCACATATTCATGGCTTGCAAACTCTGAATCTTGTACAATGAAGGGAAATGTCCATTTTGGCTCTGCATAGCGTGGCAATTTGTGCACACTACCTGTCGATCAAAATGTATAACATTGGTACTGACAGAATCTTTGCCACAAAGCCATAAAAGCTTGGAAGCAATTAAAACAAATAGTATATTGTGACATGCATACAAGGGGAGTGGGGAGGGGATTCTCTCCCCTTTGATTTCATTATTAATATGATTATTATCAATATTATTATTATTATTATTATTATAAATATCATTATTATCATGACATTTATCACAATCAACTATAAACTCAATTTAGGGAGGAAATTATCCTGCTGAATGGTTTTAGACTCAGTAGACAAAGAAAAAAGTCTTGAATACAGTATGGACATTGTAGAAAACCTTTAAATTCAATACTTTGGAGAAAATTTAATTAAATTCTGAGCTCTACGATGGATTTTCATATATGTACCTTTTTTGCCTAAAGCATTGATAGTATCCATCATCTTCTCTAAGGCAGAGGCAGATGCTTGCATGATATTCACTAATGTACCTTCCTTGAGTGAAATCACTGCACGGTTCTTGTTACTGGGTATGTACGTTGTACTCTTCACATTCAACTGCAATGATAGGAAAATATAATGATCAGTGATGACATTATTGCTAAGAGGGCTAGCAATGAAAATAAAAATATTAATAAAAACTTATTGTGTATTGTGAACATATTCATCCCAGGCATGGTCCAGGTGCCTCCAAAGTACTACTATTGCACTACAGGTAGTTTTAGCCCAGCCTTCCTAGGGCTGGCACTGCAGGCACTATAGGGAAAACTTCCTGTGATGTATACCTGGGTAAAGAGACACAAACGTTAACTAATGTCTTGCTACAGGACATGTTATAAAGGTGCAGAGTGGATTATTCAAGCATGATTACAAAAAGAGATTGTTTTCAGTTCTTTTCCAACTCATTCCTGCACTGCATTTTATACTATGCAGTTTTACCAAATGGAATGATTGCATTAACGTTATGAAGAGAAATAGAAATTCAAAATCAAATTGATATGGCATGTGTGGATGGGGTTTCAAGTCCTGAAAGGAGCCCAAGTAATGACAAATCAGTTAAAGCCATGTTGGAAAAACAGTTTGGACATATAGACTCAAATAACTATTTTAAGACTCAAGTTTAGCATTATACATGTAGGCTAAACTAAACTTCAGCATCTTACAAGACTCTGACGAAACATAAACTCAAGTTCAATGAACTACACTACCCTACAGCTTACAGAGGCCTGTTTCTTGAAACCAATGACAAGGTAATAAAATTATTCCCCAAGACCCCAACTATGGAGATATATCTCTAATCTTCCTAAACCGTTTTACGAAAAGCTTACAAGCTAGAAATCTCATAACATTCTATCGGCGAGAAAAGGAGCTGAGACATAACCATAGTAGGGAGGCCAAAGCCCGGGCGTAAGGCTTCTACGCCTACGATTTGTGCGCTCGTCGTCCAAGTCAGAAAATTATCAGAAGGAAAAAAAAGGGGAAAAAAAAAAGAAAACAAATATCTATGGAATAAAATCTATAACAAATACACAATTGTACACTCCACAACATACCTATAATCACGGATCTGTAATGGTCTTTCACCATTTGTTGACGATCTTGCAGATTTTGACGTATTTGAATCCAATAATTCTGTTAGCAGACGAACATTAACATGCACATAAGGGAAACTAGAGGGGTCCTAGAGGGCGCGGAGGTTAGCTCACTAAAATCCTTCTCAATGGCAGAAGGTAGACCCTAAAAATATGGAATCCGTTTTAAAAGAAAGAACTTTTGATAGAGATTAACATATCAGATGTGCACAAATGTCACTTTTAACAACTAGAAAATATAATGAAAAAAGATTATATCTTTTTAATTGCAGATTTTTAAAAACTGCACATTCGAAGGTAGATAGAGTACAATGTTTTTGTCAATCTTGCGTTGGTTTGAGGCCGATAGCTACAGCCATCTCAAATTGAGAAGGAAACTGTGAACAGAGATGTCATTGTTCCAGCCCCAAATAGAGATCTTGCGACATCATAATATGAATATGTATGAGCTCCGGTCAGAACGCCCACCGAACAAATTTGGTTAATCTCACACACAGTACCTTATTCTCACAGCACGAGACTCGAGTGTCGAGCTCGTACAGTAAGTCATATATGAAAAATGTTTAAAAAAGATATTTCAGTAAAAAAATGTCTACGTGAGCAGTCTATACTCCAATTGAGAAGTTAGGATGGAAAGCTATGATTGGATGATGTGATTGTGAGTGCGTGATAAATGGTTAGTTGTTGCGTACAGCTTAGAGAGAGAAAGAGAGAGAGAGAGAGAGAGAGAGAGAGAGAAATAGAGAAAGAGAGAGAGAGAGAGAGAGAAATAGAGAAAGAGAGATCCAGGTACTACGTATACGTACATGTAGTACGTATGTATGTGCGATATGCCTGTATATGTACATGTAGTAGTATCATGTGTAGCGCTGTGAGTGTGAGCTGCTGCATGGATTATGGAGGTCGTTCTTGTTGATTGTACAGTAGATCTCCGACTGAAATCATAAGGAATACTCATGAGGAAATCAAGTTATTGGAATACCAATCAAAGGTAAATATTAATGAATTAGATCTAGTTCTCTCTTCTTTTTTTACTTGTAGATGTAGTAGTCGTACATACATTGATGGTTCGAATTCTTCGATTTCAACTTCAGCCTGTAATTGCGGCTTGCCTGGTTGAAGTGGTTCGGTGTGTGGGAGCGATTCAAGGCTAGCCGGATGATGAATGTACTTTCACGCAAAGTTTTGAACTTGTTTTTTCGGGCAATGACACGCCTATTCCCTCGGGCCTGTCTAATTCTCGACGTAATTTTCGGGGACATGAAATTGATCATTTCAAGGCTCTTGCGTATGGCCAGGCGTAGAAGGAAAGGCATAGAAAAGAGCTGGATATCTCCTTTTTTATGGAAATTCTGGAGTCGGCAGATGGGTGAGTTGTCTTAGTGAAAGAAAATCCTTTTGTTTAATGTTTGTTTTATTATAAACAAATTCATAATTAAAAAGTTAGATTTGGGCATCTAACCATAGTCACAATCCACTTCATTTTCTAAATAGTAATTTTAGAAAAACTTTAATTATTTAAATGAGTTAGACTCTAACAGTTAGATCTAGATCTAAGTTAGACCTAGATCTAGTCTAGGGAATAAAAAAGAATGAAAAATAGCCCCAGGGTACAACTACAAGAGATACTTTAGAAATTATGAAGATTATCCTCACTTCTCTCTTAAAAACCACACTTCTCAAAGTTTTCTCAGTGAGTCAACACATGTTTTTGAGAACGTCATCTTTACAGTTCTGAATTTGTCCTTTCATTCACTGGGAACAAATTTCGGCGCGAGTTCATAAACCTATCCCAAATTTGACCCGTAACTCCTGCGTGGAGATACCCTAGAATCTACTAAAACATACCCAAAAATGAAGTAAATATTCAAAACAAAATTTCACACAAAAAGCATACTAGACTAGGTCTATGCCTCCTTGAGAATGTTGAGTGAATAGGCCATAGCCATAGGCATAGGCTACACTTACCGGGAATGTTTTCATGGCTGCATTCCTGTACTCCACAACCAGCACAAATGTGGATGTATGGGACTCTGCAATGTGAAGTTTGCCATCTTTCCATCCTGGCATCGAATTGTCAACACTCGAGTGCTTAACTTGGCTCCATTTACCCTTCGAATTGCTTCCAGCAGAGCAAAGGATTCCTTTAAATCGTTCTTCAAGTTGATGCTTCTCCATATCGAAGATTAATCTCGCTTAATCAGAACTTCGTAGTCGAGCTCGAGTTCGGTTCTCGGCGACTTTTTTTTCCGCGAACCAAAACGCGCGCTTCTAGTTCTAATTATATTTTTATCGCATCTGCACGCACGCGCATATGTACCGGTATCTCTTTATAAAAATAAATATTTTCCTAAACTTTATGAAGCCGCCGAAGATATTATCGACGAACTCATAATATGCCTAGCCTGGGAATTCAGCGATCACGTCATTTTCGACTTGCAGCAATTTAATAGGGGGAGACCGTCGTGGTGCATGGAGATAATTAAAATTAAATTGGCAAGACTATTACTACGCAGCATCGCAAGTGAACTGACTCCACCCCATATCATGTATTACCAAGGCAGGGGCGGGCGGGTGGGGGCGGCCAAGCGACTTCCAAAGTGCGAGGGGCGGGGGGGGGGGTTGACCAACACAAATGGGCACTTTCTGGAAAAAGGGGGCACCTACAACGGGAAATTCAAAGCGCAAATACACATTTTTTTTTAGACATTGGTATATACCCTTACATTGTGATCATATCAGGGATGATTTCAATTTTGTTTCTCTTTCTACACCAACAAGATATTGCTTTGCGCTCTGATCAGGGATGATTTCAATTTTGTTTCTCTTTCTACACCAAACAAGATATTGCTTTGCGCTCTGATGTGATTGTTTGAATATTCATTTGCGAACTGCGAGCGAGGAAAATTTGTAAGATTTCGAATGTCGCAGTGCGAAAAATTATATTTTATTTAGTGAGGAAAAAACCCAATCCTGATGGGGTCGTTAGCTCATTCTCATATAGCGGAAGACTGAAAAGGCCTTTGATAAGTAGCATAATGTTATCATCTATACATGCGAGCGATCGTAGCTAGGTAGCTTTGGGGGAAATTGTTCTTAGTCGCTTTAAATTAGGGGCACGTTTAATGATGAGTGAAAAAAGGGAACACTTGTCGAAAGGGATAAGACACTTATCAGAAAAGAAAAGGAGCACGTGTCAAAGTACAAAGGTTAATTATCAGAGGTGAAAATGGGGGCACTTCTTACTTACACCAGGGATAAAAAACGGCACTTGAGAATGGGAAATGGGCATTCGTCGATAGAAAAGGAGAACCCATCAGATTTTGATAGGGGCATTTATAAAAGGTGAAAAGGGTCATTTATGAAAAGGGGATAGGTCCCTTATTAGAAACTCATATCAGGGACCCCACGTACTGGAAATAAGCTCTCGAGCTTTTGTGGGTTATCCTGTTCAAGCTGACTAAATTTGGATCTGTTATTATTGTATATTGTTGTATGTTTGAAGCTTGTCGAATAAAAATCAATCAATCAATCAATTGTTAAAAGGGAACTGACCGGATATGAAAAAGGACACTTATGAGAATGAAAAAGAGGCACTAATCACAAGGAAAATGTGTATTTTCTTGAAAGAAAAAGGGGCACCGATCAGATTTCAATAAGATCATTTATTGGAGGTGCAACGGGGACTTTAATGAAAAGTGGGTTGTGGTTTTTATTAAAAAGAAAAAGAGGCACATTCAAAAATACTTATAAGAAGAAAAAAGATTATTTATTAGAAAGGAAAAAGGGGCACGTGTCAAAATAAAAGGGGCGGTTATTGAATGTGAAAAGGGGCACTCATCAGAGATAAAAAAAAAATAATAAAAAAGAGCACTTAGCAGGAGGGGAAGGGGCACTTGACACAGTAAAACGAGCATCTCAGATTTGAATAGGGCAATTAACAGAGGTGAAGGGGGCATTTTTTTTTTTTTTTTTTTTTTTTTCTCTTTCAATGATACAATGATTATATTAATTGAACCTGGAACAATGGTCCACATTGATAGCTTCATATCCACATTATGCCACTCTTCTTAAATGATAACACCATAGGCCCTACTCAATATTTTGTGAATGATTATCAATCCTAATGCTTATTGCACCTTTAATTTCTGCAAAAATTGTACATTATTGTGGTACATGACGTTTTATAATTTCCTTGACTGTATAGCCCAAAACAATATTTACGCTCTATTCATATGTATATTTTTGTTATATACAAGAAATTGCTGGTCAGATTTACCTTGAACAATTACACATCTCTTCTTTTTTCTTTTTAATTAGAATTTCTTTGAATGAGACACCGTTGGATCAATTGAATAATGACGATTTATGTTAATTGTGTTCTGGTTATTTTAAGTTTTAAGTTTTTTCTGCATACAAATCTTAAAGCACTCTATTCATTGCAGCTTCATATCCTCTTAATGCATTTATCGAAATTTAATTTAATCATGATTTTCTGAATGATTGTTTGTAATTATTTTGTATACTTATATAATGTGAACCTTGCAATATATTCTATTATGTCTCGGAATGGCATGTGAGGGTGCACATGCCCCCGGGCAACAGGGAAGAATTTCGCTTTTGTGCACCCTGACCCACATGCTATTCCTTCTTTATCTTACTTTGTATTTTTCCTATTTCACTCTGTATACACCTATATACACTGTACATGCTGAATGTGTTTTTATGGTCGAATAAATAATAATAAAATAATAATAATTTAATAAAAGTGAAAAGGAGCCTGATTATTTACGTCTGGGAGATGCAAATTAGTGGAATTTGACCGATATCCGATACAAAATAGGAAATATTTGAAGTTGTCATCATTCAGTGAAACACAAATTGGCAACACTTGCGAGCTCCTCTCTAACTAATTTAGTCAGTACAAACAACTTCCTAATCTTTCATTTTTTAGTTATTAATGATGGAATAGATATGTTTTATACAGGGGGTGAAAACAACACATTTAAAATACATGCTATCACATTCAGGATGAATGTATGATTAAGCATTTTGAAAGTATTTTGGAGGGGGGAGTTTTTTTTAGTGCATAGCAAATACAGAACTAGGTGAGGGCCGGGGCCTCGCAAAATACGTCATGGGCATGGCTACCAATAGACCAGTTCACGGTTAGCACATTTCTTCAATCATTCAATGACCCCGAACAATACATCCACAGATCTTCAAAACATGAAGAGGTCCCACTTTGTACATTTTGAAATAATCACTCCTACAACGATGGAGGTGCTACATAAATAGCATTTGTTTCCCATTTTCAAGAATACTTCCATCTGTGTTTCATGCCAATTAAGAGTGCATTGCTTGTGGGACCTCTTCATGCTAAGATGCACATTACACACTATGAACACGACGGACAAAGAAAGAGGACAAAATATACAGTTCCTTAGGTAGACAAAGCCCTTCACTGCTATTATGTACAAATATGTAGAACAGGTGAATATGCATGTGACACCTGTTCTACACACTTTTCATAATAGCAATGAAGGGATGTTCCTTTGTCTACCTGAGGAACTGTATATTTTGTCCTCTTTCTTTGTCCGTCATGTACATGGTGACAGTACAGTTCCCCCGCATCATACATTCATACATCTTAAACTGTGAGTATCACTGTGTCGATCCTTACGTAATACCTATTCATCAGGGGGGGATGAATGAATAGATCATCCCCCCCTGATGATTCACTTGGCTAGTGAAAGTCCACAGGAGTGGACGAGATCTTACCTACTGCATTTTCAGGTTGATCGCCATCACGTACTCTGTTACATAAATGACGACGAGATAAAATACGGGATAACAGCCAGGAATTATATTTATCAACAAATATTATTACTATGCACGTACATTTACGTGTGCTGTGCATAATTCCATGGAATCAGGCTACTCAGTGATTGGAATCGAGTGTAGCCAAGTTACAGGAATTTTCGGAACAGTTTGATAATTAAAATGGGTAAGTTAGTGTAGTACCTTTTTTATCATTCCTCTTCTCCATAATTTCTTCTTCTCTTCTTCTTCTTCTTCTTCTTTTTTTTCTACTTCTTCTTCTTCTTTTTCTTCTTTTTCTTCTTCTTCTTCTTCTTCTTTTTTCTTCTTCTTCTTCTTCTTCTTCTTCTTCTTCTTCTTCTTCTTCTTCTTCTTCTTCTTCTTCTTCTTCTTCTTCTTCTTCTTCTTCTTCTTCTTCTTCTTCTTCTTCTTCTTCTTCTTTTTTCTTCTTCTTCTTCCTCCTCCTCCTCTTCCTCTTCTTCTTCTTCTTCTTCCTCCTCCTCCTCTTCCTCTTCTTCTTCTTCTTCTTTCGTCTTCTCGATCCTCATTCTTTTATTTTTATTTTTCTCTCGATTCGTTTTCTTTTGTGTATGTGTGCGTTTGTTTGTGTGTGCGTGTGTGCACAAAACTTAACAGTTATGGCAATTCTGTATTAAATATTTCGGCTTGGCTGAATTAAGAGATCTGAAATGGGGGGATATATTCATGGGAATACCTGGTAATTCGAATATAAATAAATGTGTGAATTCTTTGCATGGTCTTAATTCATAATTATAATACCCGATTTTCCAACAAATTCCATTTATGGTCTGTTAAGTCTAGTTATGAAGCTAAATCAATGGGTTATCTAGGTCCTAAACAGTGGAATATGATTCCCCAATTAATAACTAAATCACAATCCATATCTTTCTTTAGAAAACAATATAAAATCTTACTACTAAATAGTTATTAATCATCAGTATTGTTGATGTTTTTAATATCTGAACCCCCTTTCATTGTTGTTTGCTTTCCCCCATTAATATTTTTTCCCACTTTCTCTCGTCTTATAGATAGTTGATGTGTCTGTAGTTTGCTTATTTTACTTTATTTATTGTTGTGTGATTATAATATTTTGTATGTCTGTAATGGGCGATCCAACTTTACAGGTTTTCGCAACCTTCATGGAAAGCCCCGCATAAAACCTTTGTAAATATAGTAAAAAGTTTACTCTTACCTTGCATATAAATTAAATTGAATTGAATTGAATGTATTTTGTTTTTCATCCTCAGGGACACGCTCGTCACGAGAATCTGTTCTTGTCTTACGTTACGGCAAGGACAGACATCCAGTCGTGCGCGACCCAAGACCATGCAGGCATGGGTGTCGATACTTACGTAATACCTATTCATCAGGGGGGGGGGATGAATGAATAGATCATCCCCCCTGATGAATAGGTATCAGTTACGGATCGACACCCATGCATGCAGGGCCCTGTCTAGACCGAAAGCTTCAGTCTCTATACCGTCGGTTGTTCCACTGAGACTACGTCTGGCTCCACTATAACCGGAGGTGGAGCCAGACGTAGTCTCAGTGGAACAACCGACGGTATAGAGACTGAAGCTTTCGGTCTAGGCCCTGTCTTACAAAGGGTTAATAGGGACTTTTAGAATTGCACGTTGACAGCCTTGACTGCAACGTGTGACGTCATTTTAAGGCACTGCGCATGCGTCACGTCGTCTCAGTCGGCGATCGAGAATGCGTCAACCTTGATTTTCCTAAATCTAGTACGGTACTAGTATATGCCGCGTGCGCATAAAATATACAGTTCCTCATGTAGACAAAGTAACATCCCTTCCCTGCTATTATGTAAAAATGTGTAGAACAGTGTCACATGCATGTTCACATTTTTACATAATAGCAGTGAAGGGATGTTCTACCACGTAGCAATAGGCCATTTTCGTAATGTAACCAAATTTAATGCACATGTCTTTGTGAAGTGCCTCAATACAAACTATTTCATTCACCTGATAGGAATAATAGTATTTCAATAGACAGAATCCTAACTGCATACATTATAGTTGTTGCCAGCTAGGTTGGACAAACATTATGGCTTGACCTACCTAGCAACACTTATGCAGTTGCATTCTGACTATTGAAATACTATTATTCCTATCAGGTGAATTAAATAATTTGTATTGAGGCACTTCACAAAGACCTATGCATTAAATTTGGTTACATTACGAAAATGGCCTATTGTTGAAAGTAGAATGAGGAACTGTATATTTTGTCCTCTTTCTTTGTCTGTCATGTTCATATAGTGTTACTTCCTACATGCATGTATATCGTTGAGTGCAATCTAAAAGATTTCTAATTGTAGTCAACATGGGCAGTTGAGTACGTTGACACGCATGGTCAGTTGGCATTCGTCGTGTTCTCGTCCACTCATTCTAAAAGTCCCTAACATCAATTGCAACTTATTTGCGATTGATATCAATCGCAACAAAAGAGATAGGAGACTGCAAACTTGCGATTGATTGGAGGACTTGCGAGTCCATGGTTGTCGATCCCGGGGGGGGGGTGGAGGGGGGATATATCCCCCCCCCCAATATTTCAGGTGGGGGGAATGGCCTGTACAATCATCCCCCGAATAATTCACCCTCAAAAAAAAAAAAAAGAGAACAATAATGATGAAAACCCGATGAGAGTAGTTAATGGTTATTACTCGCAAGATGGCGATCAATATACACATTTTGCTATCTCATTTTCAAAATACATACATATATACGAATTAAATGAGACAACTGTATATGAGATAAGAATAAATTGAATTCTCGCTCATACGGCTTCATCAGGAATTGATGAATTTATTCAATTTGTTCAATCAACAGCATATATAAATGCAGTGCGCCAAACAGGGGCGTCGCCAAAGGGGGGGGGGGTGTGGGGGGGTGCGACACCCCCCACCTGTCAGGATATTGTCGGTAAAATTGCGCTGCCGTCGGGAAAAAGAGAAAAGGGGGAGGGAAAAAAAGAGAGGGAAAAAAAGAGAGGGGAAGGGAAAGAAAAGAAAAAAAGAAAAGGAAAAGAAAAGAAAGAAAGGAAAGAAAGGAAAGAAAAGAGAAGAAAGAAAGAGAAAAAAGAAAAAGAGGGGGGAGAGGAAAGAAAGGAAAAGAAAGAAAAGAAAGAAAAGGAAAAGAAGAAGAAAAAAGAGTGAAAGGGAAACAAAAGAAACGGGGGATGAAAGAGAGGAGAGAGAGGGGAGGTAAGAGTCTGAGACAGGAGGAGTGGGAGTAAAAGAGAAAAGGGGGTTGTTGGGTGGAGTCGTCTCGTCGAGGGAGCAAGAAAGACACGGGTAAATATGTTGCTGTGTCGGGTCAGCTGTGTCGGTATTCTTGCTCGATCCTCATCAATGCATAAGTTTGAAGTCGGTGAGATGTATATTGTCGGTCGGCCGACAAATTTTTTTCCCTACGAACTGCGACTTCTCATCCGCTGTGACGACTTCGAGAGTGACTACAATTACAATACTTGTATTTTCTCGAAGTTTCACTTTCCTATAATATCAGCTAAAGAAATCAGAGGTTTAAAATTTTCGGGGAAACTAAATTCAAACATGGTTTAAGAGTCAACAACGGTACGACGAATCATTTTCCTTTCTTTATATTGTGATGAAACGCCAGAAATTCCGCGCTTCGCGCGGAAGGGGAAACTTCATTTAGACGAATCGAGGACGGTACAACGAATCGTCTTCTTTTTCTAATAATTTAAGGAAACGTCAAAGCTTCCGCGCTTCGCGCGAAAGTGGGAAACTGAATTCAGACTAATAGGGCTTACTAAAAGTCGAAAACGTTACAACGAATCGTGTTCTTTCTCTAATAATTTGAGGAAACGTCAAAGCTTTCGCGCTTCGCGCGAGAGGGGTAAACTAAATTCAGACAAAATTAATAGGGCTCATTTAGAGTCGAAAACGGTACAACGAATCGTGTTCTTTCTCTAATAATTTGAGGAAACATCATAGCTTTCGCGCTTTGCGCGAGAGGGGTAAACTGAATTCAGATGAATAGGGCTTAATAAGATTCGAAAACGGTACGACGAATCGTCTTCTGCTCTAATAATTTAAGGAAACGTCAAAGCTTCCGCGCTTCGCGCGAGAGGGGGAAACTGAATTCAGACAAAATTAATAGGGCTCATTTAGAGTCGAAAACGGTACAACGAATCGTGTTCTTTCTCTAATAATTTGAGGAAACATCAAAGCTTTCGCGCTTCGCGCGAGAGGGGTAAACTGAATTCAGATGAATAGGGCTTAATAAGATTCGAAAACGGTACGACGAATCGTCTTCTGCTCTAATAATTTAAAGAAACGTCAAAGCTTCCGCGCTTCGCGCGAGAGGGGGAAACTGAATTCAGACAAAATTAATAAGGCTCATTTAGAGTCGAAAACGGTACAACGAATCGTGTTCTTTCTCTAATAATTTGAGGAAACATCAAAGCTTTCGCGCTTCGCGCGAGAGGGGTAAACTGAATTCAGATGAATAGGGCTTAATAAGATTCGAAAGCGGTACGACGAATCGTCTTCTGCTCTAATAATTTAAGGAAACTTCAAAGCTTCCGCGCTTCGCGCGAGAGGGGGAAACTGAATTCAGACAAAATTAATAGGGCTTATTTAGAGTCGAAAACGGTACAACGAATCGTGTTCTTTCTCTAATAATTTGAGGAAACATCAAAGCTTTCGCGCTTCGCGCGAGAGGGGTAAACTGATTTCAGATGAATAGGGCTTAATAAGATTCGAAAACGGTACGACGAATCGTCTTCTGCTCTAATAATTTAAAGAAACGTCAAAGCTTCCGCGCTTCGCGCGAGAGGGGGAAACTGAATTCAGACAAAATTAATAGGGCTCATTTAGAGTCGAAAACGGTACAACGAATCGTGTTCTTTCTCTAATAATTTGAGGAAACATCAAAGCTTTCGCGCTTCGCGCGAGAGGGGTAAACTGAATTCAGATGAATAGGGCTTAATAAGATTCGAAAGCGGTACGACGAATCGTCTTCTGCTCTAATAATTTAAGGAAACTTCAAAGCTTCCGCGCTTCGCGCGAGAGGGGGAAACTGAATTCAGACAAAATTAATAGGGCTTATTTAGAGTCGAAAACGGTACAACGAATCGTGTTCTTTCTCTAATAATTTGAGGAAACATCAAAGCTTTCGCGCT